AGAGACCAGTGCCCACGGCTTGCACACATGGCTGGTCGGGGCAAACTGTGGCAGTATCCAACAGCCTGAAAATATCATTTCGCCCCCAAGTCAAACAACTGCTCTGTAACTCCAACCGGTAGTAGGATGGACTTTGGATGACCACAGAGGAAAAGCAGACGCTGCCTCTCAGTGCAGCAGCCCCTTCCTTGCTGGATTGGTTCGTCGGATGGCATGGCATTGAGTTTGGTCGACCCTCCCATTCAGTCCGCAGGGAGTCCCAAGCGAGTGACAGTTTGTTCGCTGTGGTCTTTGAGTCCACAAACAAAGTCACACAGTCTGATCAGGCCCAAGCGCATCTTGTGGAGTGAAAGCAGTGGACTTTGTTGAATCCGTCATCGGCAGTAGAGCAAGCTCGTAATGGCTGAATCATGATGCATAAAAATATACACGTCGTATCCAGTTAAGTTGTGCAGATCCATTAAGCGGCCACAGAGACGACCCTTCACCTCCACCAGGCTCTTGGAGCACCGTCCCAGAATCGGCAGAGCCAGGTCCGTTCAGTGGAGAGCAGAACAGCCCAGAACACTGCGTGACCCAGCATCCTCTGTTAGTGCAGCTTGCGGTTCTTGGGTTGGATACGTACCTCAGTCGGTCTACGGCGCATTGCCCAAGCTATTGACGGGGTGGGGTTCTGGGAGGAGCTCGTTGTTGGTCTTGTTGTCAGTGGCTGGCGACCCGCGAACGTCTTTCCAAAAACCCTGCCCGCCACGGCCCACGGGTATCGCAATCCGGGCAGGGATTAGACACAGAGAGGAGGGGAGAAAAAAAAAAAAACGAAAAGGGAGGGGAAACACGCTTGGCCGCTTCTGTGGCCCTGGTCATAGCAGCAGAAAAATGGACTGGACCTAGGCCTGGCATCCCGGTCTACCTTGGGTGCAAGGGGAGAGACAGAGAGGAGCTGGCCGAGCTGTGATCCCTGGACTCGCATAAGAAAACGAAACGGATTTCGGGTTAGTGTTTATGGAGAAAGATGAGGCAGTGCGAAGCAGCAGGGCGGGGAGGAACAATTGCAACGATGACGATAAAATGCGGTTCAAACGGTTATTTGTGAAGCTGTTAAAGTATCCGTGTGTGATGGTGAGTTGAGTTTGTGGTGGAGAAGATCCGGGAGCAAGAAACACAAGGAAGCGGAGACGGGAGGAAAGGGTGAAAAGAAGGAAGGCACGTAGGAAGGTATGATTTGGCAGGAGAGAGCTACGTATGGAGTATCCGTATACTGGGTACCAAGCAAGATACCTCAGGCAAGGTGAGATGGGGGTTGAGGCTCCTCATGCTTGCCTGCCTGCGTTCCTTTTGGCAAGGGAAAGAACCTGCGCCGACCGCCGGGTCTACCTGCCTCCTCAGTTCGGACCGGTGTACGGATACACACCTCAGGTTAGCTACTACTGTAGTAGGACGAAGAGCATACTGATGGAAAGAAAGAGGAGAAGGAAAATGGGGGAAGAAGCCCTGGACCCTGCCCCGCTTCCACTATGGCCATGGTTGTGGTACAGGATACCGCCTGCACCTGCACCTGCCTGCTTTCCCTTCTTACTGTCTTCTGCACACTTCACCTTCCGCAGCCAATCGCGGACCCTGCTCCGCTCCGTTGCAGCTGCGTCAGCGTCAGCACTGCCGTTGTTGGAAATTGGGAAACCGCCTACTCTGTATTGTTTGACAGAGAAACAGGCGGTTGGATGATGCAAGTCCGAATTGGGGGAAGGCCTTCCGGCCGCAACATGTCTAAGAAGCAATGCTGGTGGCATCATCCTGCTTCTTCCTTCCTGCCTCCTGCTCATTGATGTCGATGACGGCGCTGCTGCCATGAGAGAGTGCATAACCTCTTCACGACGCAGCATGTGCAAAGCATTACAGCAACAATTCGCCGACGCGTTCCTTCGTCGCCTATGCTACCACGCGTTGAAAGATAACAGGGTACAGGTTCCTAGCCAGCTAGTCCGATTAGCCCAATGAGCCCGTTAGCTGCGCGAACCGCGTCCCGTCTGTGCTGTTGCTAGAGCAGTGACGCACACCAGCAGTTTGCGAATCGCCTCGCTCTTGTCGCAGAGTCAGGTTGACACTTTTATTATCCCGTAGCCTGGGCCGACTTGGCCTTGGCGGGTTTAAGAAAAAAAAAATTAAAAAAAAAAAATTAAAAAATCGTAGCATGTGTGCCTGCAGTCTCGCGCCCCCGCTGGCCCGGTGTCTTAAAAATCGGAGTCGGGGTTAGCAAGCCGGAAAGACAAGACAACGGCCTTGTGGCCCACATGAAAGTCGTTTGCTCTCAGTGTTTAGCGTCTCTGGTTTTCTGCGTCTCCATAGCAAAGAACAAGAAGTACGTACCATAGGTTGGTTTTACTGCCCATCGTCACCCACATTATCCGTATTGTAGTCGCCAGCCCACATGCATTTTCCTAGAAAGCTGCTGGACACAGACAAGGGAATGTGGCTTCGGCACAGCGTTCAACGCAAACCCTGAACGGCTTGGGCCCTCTTTCTTTTCGGCAGAGACCCAACTGGAGCGGCTCAGAGGGGAACAAAAATAAAGATAAAAAACCAAGCAGAAAGACTCAGAGACCGACGGTCCGTCACAGAGAGAGACATGGGAGGGGACCTCCTCCACTCTCCTCCGCACTGCGCCCACGCTTGGTCGGCGGCACCCACGGACTAGAAGGAAGGGTTTAAGCTGTCTTGGGCCTAGAATGATTGTCGGGCAAGCTTGTTCTAGACAAGAAAGAGAAAGGGACCAAATGTTTCTTTTTCTCACTTTTGCTTCTGAGACAAGCCAAGCGTGGTTGTGAGGCAGAGACGAGTTCTCGACGGGGGAAGAACAAAGGAAATTCGATACAATGCCTCACAAAAAAGATGAAAAGAGGCTTGCACCAACACATGTTTCTCTGCTTCCCGTGACCACATATTCTGAGTTCTTTGGGAACCGACGGATAACATGGACAAAAGAGAAAGACGGTGACGACGTGACTTGAGAATGACATTGTTCAACCATCAAGGAAGTGTTGCAAGTTGAGCTTGAGCTGGATGACTCCCTTGTCTTCGTCCTCGTCCTGTACCTTTGGCCTCCGCTCAGGTCCACTACCATCTAACTCAACCTTGTCCTTTGCCCTTGCTTTCTAGCTTTTGTCCTCGTTACCGTGTATTCTACTACGTATGTAGTAGACTTTGGGGACTAGGGTACGAGACATTAAGATTTTGCTGGTCTGGTTGAGCAATGGCGTCAGGGAAGCAAAAGGTGTAGGTACCTCTGGACTTACTACCTACCAGACAGACATCATCCCAGTCGCTACTTCCTGCTTTTGTGTTTTTACCTCATTGTGCTTGTACCCATGTACCTTCCCGTTTTTTTATGAGCCAGAAGGAAGGAGGGGGCCAGGAGAGCTCAATAGGTGAAGAACGGCAGCAAGGTACGTACCTTTATCATGTATTTTGTTTTTTCCACTCAACTGGAAGCTGCACAAAGAATTCTTCTACCTTTCCTGATCTGATCTGACTTGGTCCGGCCTGGTCTTGACCTGCCTCCCGCCCTTTCTTCCTTACCAGTTCGTCGCACTACCCTCTTGCTGCCGCTGCTTCAATGGGGGCTGCATGGGCTGTGTACCCTTCCGCCTTCTTCCTTCCCATCCCCCCCAAAGGTTTAGCTCTTTTAGGTTGGGTTGGGTTTTTTAGCAAGGTTTCCCACCAAGCCTTTCCTTTCCATCCTAGCTCCCGGTCAATATCCACGCCCCCCGGCCCTCCACCATCTACCATCTACCCCCCCTTGGCCACTACCTCTTTTACCCACGCAGTTCGCTCGGTGTCTTTCCACATCCGCCATCCTGAACCCGCCCGCACACCCCATCGTCTCTTGCCCACACCCTTGCCCACCTACAATACCCTACCTGCCTTTTTACACCCCGTCCGTCCATACATTTTTCTCGCCCGCCCTCCTTGTACTGCAAAACCGCCTGGGAACCCTTCTTCGTCCTGTCTCTCGTCTCTTCTTTTACTGTAGTTTTCCTAGCTATAGGTCGCCAACCGCCAGAGCAAGTCAGTTGACTTTTTTCTTCCCCCGGTTCTCGTCCAACCCAGCCATCACCATCTCTCATATATCGCCGACCGCCTCTGCAACCTGAGTCCATCGCTCGTCAACTGTGTCTCCGCTCCCCTCACGTGTCTATCCTGCAGCAAGACCCCGAGGTATCAAGTCGTGTCGCATTGGGTCCGGCGTCAACTCGTTTGATTGGAAGAGGAGGACTCTGCACTGGAAGAACAACAACGCACGCATATACATATTCCTGCTTCCGCCCCAGTACCAGCATACCTGTGCCCAACCAGCACAACCCCATTCGAGGCACCCTGCTCCAGATTGCACACGTGGGACGAGTCACCGCCATAGCCAACTTGTCGACTAAGCATCTGAACCGCTTCATTGGGGAAAACCCCAGAAACCTCTTGCACCGCTTTCACGCAGTCATCGGTCACGAGCATCACCGCCGCTTTGAGGGCCGAGTTTGAAACAATACAACGACACGTTCTGTGGGAAGAGAGGGAAAGTTACGAAACGAAAGCAACGCCTAGGATGTCTAAGTAGAGACTCGGCTTACAGGAAACATTGGAAATCGCTGCAACAACAACAACAACCATCTAGCACGACTGCAACACAAGAAATTGTGACTGGCAATGACAGCAGACTAAAAAGGCTCGCACAACATCTCTGGCCGATCACATTGTCACTGTGTTGTCTGGTCTTTTTTTTTTTTTTCCTCCCAATCATTCGCCAACCCCCACCACATTCGCCAAGGTGCAACAACACAGCGACCCCAACATCGTCATATTTACTGTGCCCCAGCCGCCACCCCCAACTTCGACCATTGCCACCCATTACATCAACAACAACATTCCTAACAAAGACTTTAACCACTGTCGTTCCTCGCCACAAAATCTTTTCCGTTTAGGCACAACAGCTCTAGGCTGAGGTAGACACGATGTCGCCTAGGCTTAAGCCGTTATTGCTACCCCAGCTGGTGGAGGAGCGCCGTAGATATGAGGAACAGCAACCCGATTTTGTAGACGGCGATCTCGACCGTCAATATGTCTACTACACGACAAACTCATCTTCTTCCGACGTCGCTTCACCAGTCACGCCAACTTTCTCAACCCGTGGACACGTGCGCTATTCTAGCTCTTCGTCATCACTCGATCTCCCCCCCGCTTGCCTCAATGACAGCCCTTCGTCACCGACTTCAACCTCTCAATCCAAGTCATCCAAGCGGCCTCTTCCTGACGTGCAGGAAGAACCTCTGGAACGCGAAGAGTTTGACGAGAGCACCATCCTAGCGGAGCCCTTTGATCTCTACAATTGCTTGTGTAAGTCGTATGGCATTTCCGAGCCAGTGGAAGCGTGCTAACAATTGGGTGTAGGTGATGAGCCATGCATTCACCACGAAAGTTCCGAAACGCTTCACAGCGTGTACCCCGCCGATTTCGATATTGACTACGACCTGGGATTCGCGAGCGACACTGACTACTCGGCGACTTTGGAGAGCAAACGAAGCGGCACTGAGTCACCCTTCTCTGGCCTCGCTACCCGCATCGGAACACGCTTCCCTCAATTGTCGCGTTGGAAGTCTACAAAGCGGGCTCAACTGACCGCTTCGCCAACGACCGAGCTTACCTTTGAGAATGCTCACTCGGTATCCCGAGCTGCTTCAAGCCGATCATCATCACTGTCCGGTCCCACTAGACAAATCGCCGAACTGTCAATCCCCACGCCTGCAACATCGTTCTGGGAAAGTAACGAGAGTGTGGATGTTCCGGCTCCAATTGATATTGAAAAGGCCAACAACGAGAGGGACAGCATTGAGCGTGACCGTGCTATGGCTGCGACGCCACTGCTTCCTCCGCTTTTGAATACGCCTCCAACCGAAGCACCTCAACCCAGTCCGCTCCAGTCTCCAACCGTGGCACCAACCGTACTCTCGATGGAGTTCCCTTCCACCCAATCGCTAGCTCATGTTCCAACACCTTCCCTCAGCGCGAAGCCCTCCATCTCATCCTTCCGACACGCCCAGTCAAGCCAAGAGCTACCCATTGGTTACCCATCTATTTTACAAGACTATGACGAATGGTCAGACCGTCTGGGTCACGCAAACTTTAGCATCACTCCGCAGCCATATGAGCCGAACGAGGCCAATATGGAGACCCTTCGTCTTCTTCGTGCTGACTGGGAAGCCGCCCGCGTCAACTATACCAAGCACCTTGTCCGCACCGGCGAGAACTACGGCGAGACGTCAAAGATCTACGCACTGACCGAAGCGAAGTGGGCCGAGATTGAAAAGAGCTGGCGTAACTTTCATGAACAGACGATGGAACGTATCCTTGCCGCCAGCAAGACAAGCTCTCAACGCCCCGAAGTCTCCCGTAGCCGTAGCCGTGGACGCGTTCGTGCCGGCAGCGGGGGGTCTGCCATCTTGCGCCGTCCTGCCAATGACAACGTTTTCGCTAACGAGCAATGGCGACGCTTGGAAGACGGCTTGCCCACTGCTATCCCTCGGCTTCTCGATGCCGAGGGCAAGTTTCCGGAGCGTGGAGACGAGGACATTGTTGGACCAATGGAGCGCGACACCAAGATGATACGGTCCAGAAGTGAGGAGCGCAAGAGCACTCGCTTCTGGCGCAACCTGGCCGAAAAGGTTGGCCTTCGAAAGTGAAAAAAAGATATTGAATCGATGCAGAGTCTGAAGCTGGGCACTTCAGATATGAGCCCACGGGCACGGATCTGCTGTCACGATTAATGCCCTCGAGACAACGATGACGATCATGAACCACCGACATCGATGAATTCTGCCCTTCCTTTCAAGCTTGTTTTACGAGATACCCCACCATTGTCACTCCTTTATCACGACGCCTAAACCAGGCTATGTTTCTTACGAAATCTAACGACTACGCCTTTGCTCTTTCATCTTTTTTTTTTTCATCAACTAGAAGGGCCCCGAACTGGGCCGCCCAAAATTATTATTGTCTTTTGTCTATTATCTAAAACTACTACTGTCTAGAACAGTGAAGCGCTCGTGGCGGTGCTTTAAGCCTGTAAATACTTTTCCGAGTTGCCGGGGGGAATATATGGAGCCACTGGAAGGAGGTGTTCAAAAAAGAAACGGGACAAACCGATATTAGACCTGGGAGGAAAACCAAACGGAGTTACAGTTCAGGCCCACAGGATCGTGGCTGCCTATTGTTTTGTGGATTTGGGCGTATCACCGGAGCGAGGCTTGGTACTACAGAGCCCGCCGTATTGTACAGAGTTGTTTTTCTTTACTCGTAGCTCTTGTCTGACGGACAAAAGAGCTGAGCTGTGTCCATTTTGGCCGCAGTCTCCAGCCTAGTGCCGTGAGTGTGGAGGGCGATAGCCCGCCACATCGACATGGCTCAAATAAAATAACTTGATAAACCACTGTCCCACGCCATGATGTGAATTTTACTTATTTTTTCGTATTGGGATTCACTTCTACGTCGTTCCCTTGGCACCTCGTATACAGACGGCGTGGATGTGGTTGCGTTGGGGAAACACAACCTCGGAAGCCTTGAACCTCACCTTCACGTAGTCTGTCTCTTTACAACGGATACACTTCGCGACGACGGCAGATGCAACGTTGTCGCTTCCCATTTCCTCGCGGCGGTGCCTCTGTGTCGTAAACTACCACCCACAAACTTTCAGATCTCTTATGCTTCCCTGCCCGCCCGCCCCCCACCCCCCGCTTCTCATCTGCCGCTACCAAGACTAAGACTGTGCGGCTCGCATTGCAGCGTCACTGTCCTTCGCCGTCATCTGCAGCGGGAGAAATCAGAGAATGAGACACCGAGATGGATTGGGCATTTTCAGGCGGGAGAGGAGGGTTCGATGTGTGCGGCTGTCATTCGGCGCCACGTGTTTCGGATGCGGGATGCTGCTGCCGCGTTTACGCTAAGGGGGAAGGGGGGGGGGGGGGGGGGGGGGGGGGGGCAAAGTACCTGAGGTTTGTTTGGAAAGTTGCTTGTTTACTGCGGGTTTCCTTTTCTGCATTTTTTTTTTTTTTGGCTCGTTTTTGAGTCCCCTCCCCCTTCTCATGCAATGTGGCCGCGGGGGGCTCTTGGGTGCATTTGATGACGGGAGGGGAGACGGGCAGCTGGCGGTGGCGTGGGCTAAGGCACTCACTCTGCGCACACGCAAGCCCTGCCTCATGCCGGCAGAGTTGCGGCATAAGGGCGCCGATTGGGGAGGGAGGCCAGGTGGTGGGTAGGTGCAGTGAATAAATACGTGCGTAAGGTCTGGCTGCTGAAGTGAGATGGGTGAGTGGAGAGGGGGGGTTGTTGGGGGGGGGAAGGGTTTTGGGGGTTGGAGTGGGATGGAGGGGTTGTATGGATGAGACGGGCTGGTATGCAGGTCGCCGCCGGGGGGGGTGGTTTAGGGGGAATCGACGGGTCTTTTTTCCGCTGGAAAATAGGGAATCAGGCTTCGGGAGGAAGCTTATGGCGTTCTGGGGGATACATGGAGAAGAGGGGTAAACAAGATGTGAGATGTGAGAGGTGGTGACGGGAGATTGCAGTTGATGGCTCGAGTCGCTGTTGGAGTGAGATGCTGAGATTTCGAGGGTCGGCTATTTATGGGTAGGTGGTACTGATGCCAGCGGGTTTCAGATTGGAGATTCGCCTGAATTATTGGGAGTGAGGTGAGAACGCGGCTGACGACGTCTGTGGTCCTTACCGTGTTCCGGAGATACGATACCGAGGGTGAGGTCCGGTCTTCTGCCGATGTGGATCGGTGTTGGGGCCGGCTCCGTGTCTGGTTCGGTTAATAAGCGGGTCCTTCGCGGCCGTCTTCCCGCCGTTGGTGTAATCAATGCATGATGATGTCCCCCTAGTCGAAAATTAGCAACCAAAATGGAAGGTACGCTTAGATATTACAAATGGTGGTACAAGTCTACAAACAATACCGTGATTAATAATGTGCTTATCATTATCAACTACACTGTTTGAGCGGAATATGGATGCCGCTCTGCTAGGAGAATAAAAAGTGCAATGTACACATCCCCGAAAGTACATATTATAGCTCAACTCCGACGTATGTTGTAAACTTAGTAAATATACCGATTACTTCGAAATGGCGCCTATCCGGATTGCACTCATCGGCCTCTCCGCCAGCGCAAAAACATCCTGGGCTTCCGAAGGTCACTTACCCTACCTCCTTTCCCCATATGGGCAGAAACGCTACCGAATCGTCGCCCTGCTTAATTCCAGCGTCACAGCAGCCGAAGCAGCTCGCGCGCACTTCAATCTCCCGACCAGCGTGAAGGCTTACGGCGACCCAGATGCTCTAGCACAGGATCCAGAAGTAGACCTCGTGGTCTGCAACACCCGCGTCGACACGCACTTCGCCCTCGCTGCCCCATCGGCTAGACAGGGCAAGGCAATCTACGTCGAGTGGCCTCCCACCCATGATCTGGCGAGTTCAGAGGAGCTCGCCGCGTTGGTTGCTTCATCTGGCAGAGACAGCATCGTCGGGTTACAGGGACAAGTTGCGAGAGTCGTGCTCAAGATCAAAGAGGTGGTTGATTCAGGGCGCATTGGGCGGATCCTCGGCAGCGACGTCGAAGCGTACGGGAACCTTCTGGCAAGGGATGAACTCCCAGAGGGATTGGCATATTTCGCGGATAGAAAGGTTGGCGGGAACCCCGTCACCATCGCGTTCGCTCACATGATTGACTACGTTCACCATGTTCTCGGCGAGTTTGAAGAGTTTGAGAGCCGGATGCAGCGTCAGAGGCCGCTGATCGACGTTATCGCCAGTGACGGGCAGCGGAAGAGCGTGGAATCGGACGTTCCTGATTTCATTGCGCTGCATGGCGCTATCAAGGGCGAAAACACGGTAGAAGGCGCTACTCTGGCAGTCAGGTTTAGGAATGGCACTCCGATTAAGGGACGGTCTGCTTTTATGTGGAGGATTGTGGGGGAGAAGGGGGAGATTGAGGTTGAGAGCCCTTCGGGGCCGTATTTGCATTCGGACTCATATGATGAGCCGATTGTGATCCGTGTTCATGATCACGCTAAGAATGTTGTTGAGGAGGTGAGTTGGGACTGGGAGGAATGGCAGAAGTCTTTGCCTATTCGTGCCAGAAATGTGGGAGAGATCTATGAGAGATTTGCTGCCGGGGTGGAAGGGAAAAGGGAGGAGGGGAGAGGGACACGCAGGTGGCCTTCACTTCAGAATGCTGTTGTGCGGATGAGGCAGTTGGATTTACTTTGGCGGAGGTTCGATGAACAGAAGTACTAGGAATGAGATATGGGGGTCTTGATAGGGGTTAAGGTGAGATCAGGTTCGTGGTGAGCTGTATTATGTTTCTTCAACTTGAAGCTCCCTCTTCTCTCATAGCCCAGTTTGTATAGAAGGAGCACATTTCCCTGTTCACCAGCTGCCAGGAAACAAAACTAGAAAACTTGATTCGTCAATCATCATCTGGAAGGATTGCTTAATTGCACTGACGGCGCCACTGTGATTTCTCATTATTAGTTGTCATACTAACGCCCTTACACGGCCTCTAGCGACAAATTGGCATCATTACTTCTAACAGTTGCCTTGCCTGCTTGGGTTAATCAGATATATTTGGTGAATTAGTGCTAAATAGTTCTTCTTCGCTGATTCCACGATTTACTTGTCATGGAAGTTCTACAATTTCCTTCTTCACAAGAGTTGGGAACGTTTTCAGACCATCAACGTCGGACTATAGCTGTGCTATGCAATCTATTTATTGACAGAGACAGGGGCATCCCAAGTGGCCCCTCTTACTTACGTACAAATCTGGAAGTAGACATTAGTCCCTTGTTCGATATGATTCGCATTGAAAGGCGAGACCCACCACATCTTACCAGAACCATGATTAAGAGGGAGAGTGAATTGTACGTATAGGAAACACTCATTGTTTACTATGCCAGCTTCTTAAAGGGAATTGTTTGTTAAAGCCCCGAGATGTCGTGAAGATCACCCTTTCACAGATGGTTAAGCGCTGCAAACCCCTGTGTCGTGATAGGAAAAGTTGCCGTAGTTACAACTTCATGCCCCTGAAGTGATGACGTTTCAGTGCAGATAACCTTAGTTTAAAGTATAGCGGGGGTCGTGGCATGGGGACAAAGTCTCTGCAGCCAAGGTCTCACAAATACCAAGGTGGATCGAGTGGGCAGTTGCATCTAACAAGAGACGTTTACAAATAGAATTAGGGATAGCCGAGGCTTGAACTAAACAATGCGCACATTATACTCCTGGGAACTAGCAGCTACTGAAGTCCGATGTTGGAGATAGCATGGATACATGCTAAGTGATTTCTAGATTTCAAAATGCCACAACAGGGTTGTGATTTGTGGCCTCTCGTCGCAACTACGTCGCATCTAGCTAGCCATTCTTCAAATCAGAAGAGCACAAGAGAATGGGTTCTTGATAGTTCCGGCTTCGTATTGGTGAATCTGAGAGATGTTAGCGTGATAAACTTCTTCTGGGGAATTGGATGAAACTTACAATGCTCACGATGCAGGAGTATGTTCCACAGACCAAGACTACCAGTCCCATGACAAAAATGAGACCGTTGAGGATACTCCAGAAGATGTTCTTCTTCTCGTACCACTTGCCCTCCTTGATGAGAATGAACCACATCATGGCCGGGATATACAACGTGAAGCCAGAGTTGAGCAAACTCGAGACAATACCAATCAACTCGCTGAAGAAAGGAATAGCTTCGGCAACAACAAATCCAATCCAGGTGAAGACGGTGATCAATGCCAACCATGTGATCCAGCCCTGCTTGGTGTTGATGTAGCGCGTAACGCTATCCTTGTACACTCTTCCGTGAATGTATCGTGCGGCGACTGTTGTGCAGATGGAGCCACTGATGAAGATAACAGGCAGCGCGACACCGAATGCCACCTTGGTAACTGTCTTTGAGGTGGACAAGATGGCAGGAGACGCCACATCGGGGCCCACAAAGGAGTAAATGAGCGATCCGGTGAGGGTATAAATGACGATCTCAAGAACTCCCAAGGACCAGACAGACTTCATGTAATCAGTCGGCGTATGCATTTCGTCCATGAAGGAAAACTGCGAGATGGAGAAGCTGTACGCGAAGAAGATGTTGCAAATGGCCAGGAAGGCGCTGGAAAACGAGATGTCTTCCTTGGGCCAAGCTGACCACTGAGCTGGGGTCTCGGCGGCGGAGTTGGTAATTCCGGTCGCGATCATGGTGATTCCGATGGCGAGGATGATCGAGGCAAAGTCGATGTAGCCAAGGATGGCCATCTCTGCGAAACTAGGGGGGATCGCCAGAATGATGAGAATAATGGCGGAAACGACACCCCAGACCACACTGCAGATGTGGCTTTCGGTAAGAACTTGAAAGGCAATAGTCCCCGTCAAACAATGAGAGGCCGTAAGGAGAACCAGCATCAGGGTCAACATGACACCGAAGATCTCGGATCCAATACGGCCAAACATGAGCCCTCCTGCGGCAGGGTAGTGTTCCACGTGGGGGAACTTGACCTTGACCTTGCCGACGATGTAGGATGTGTAGATGGCGATAAGACCGATACCAATGGAACAGATGACACCAGCGACCATTCCCAGGGTGGCAAAGGCACCCGGGATGGACAGCGAACCGAGAGCAACGGCTTGGACAATCAGGACTATCACAAGACGCTTCCAGCCGAGGCGATGGAACTTGGCGTTTCCAGCCATGATCTTACGCTTCTCGAACTCGGTCACTTCACCGACCAGCTTCTCGCTGGTGTTGTCGTCCGGAGCAAACATGTTACCTGCGCCATGGTTGTTGCCGTCGTTGTTGTTGGTGGTGGTGGTGGTGGTGTTGTTGTTCTTCTTCTTGTTCCCAGGTGCGGTGATCTGGTCGGCGGTCTCAGCCGCAGGAGGAGTAGTTGTGTTGGGGATCATTGTAATTTGTCAATTAGTCCCACATTGTCACACAGACGGTTATGAGATCCACGACTCCTAGAATCAGGGATTGCAGAGAAGCTGAGGCTGAGAGAAGGATATGCGGGTGTCTATTGTGTGGCGTGAGCTTGACAGCACATGTAGTTTGGAGCTCGTCCAAAGGACCAAGGGATGGAGCCCTTTTGAGGTAACCTTTTTGCACTGGAGCATGTCGCCCCATTCACCGAGTTCGGACCTTGAACTCAGGGACCCTAGAGAATCTGGACATCAGTAGAGTCAGTCGATGAAGTGAAATAAAGCGTCCTACAGGGTCACAGCCCCACTGACTCACAACGGGGTTGAACCCGCACCAGTCGATGATGGCCAGTCGCGAGGAAAATTTTTCGTATCCCCAATGTTCATTACGTAGTAATCAATTGAAGTGGAGCTTTCTATGCTAGGAATGTCTAGACAAAGGGACGGGCCATCCGGATTATGAAGGCGTTGGTCAGGGTTCTGGCCCGCCGGTTTGCATGAGAGAAAACCAGCCCACGAACACGGTGCAACATGGTTTATCTGTTTGTAATAACGTGATAGTTATTGGACAATGAGTTGAACTCTTATATCCCTTTCTTTACACTTAACTTACCAATTGAGCAGTGTTGGGAGCTGAGCATCTCTGGGGAGAAAGTCGAGAACTCAAAATTTTCATCGAAAAGACATTAATAACAAAAACTAACATAAGTGCCATATAGGTCGACTGTTACGTAATCTGGAACTATACTGTGGGGTTCTCGGTTGGGATTCCCCAGAACTCATACTATGTAGGCAGGTGCTTTCTCTACCGTTGTTGAAAACCCTCTCCAGCTACCTAGGATGGTCTAGACACATACAGGCAGTACTCCGTATTAAGCATTCAGATCCCGTGTTGCGCGTTGCCACTATTTCTCTTCGCTTGTCAGTCTGGAGGTACCTTTCTATGCGAGTAGTTACTAGTGTATGCTTATGTAATTCGGTCATGACAGGAGAAGTTTTAACCTCAAAGTGCACCTTACCTATGCAATCGTGGAACACTAGCGCAATTTCCGGACGAAAGGAATACATCCATACTCTTTTTTTTGTTTTTAACTTAGATTCTTCACATGTATTGCTGTGCTCCTGTCATATGCTTGTGATATGTATACTCATTGTTACACGTGATATTTCACGTGGTGTCAGGGATCAAATGCGATGTCGATCACCTCCATTGCCCCAGCAGTTACTCCACTCTTAACGGCACCGTGTCCACGGAAGATGTATGGCAAACCTGATTCTGTCAGTGACATAGGGGTCCACGCGGTGCATACTATCTGCCGAATTGTCAGCGTCTACTAGCAGGGCTAACGGCTTCCTGGACAGAACCCTATGCTGATCAGCTCCCTGGTGAATCTAGATGACATACTATGTAGACATGTGCATGTGATAAAAATAATTGCAGCTTCCGAAGACTACTACTACTTTGGTAAGAGAGAAAACAGGCATGTTTGAAAAGGAAAACTCTTCTTGTAGTAACTTCGTAGTGAAAATGCATTCCTCCAGGAGAGCGATTGTAGCGGGGGTTTTCTCAGAAACAAGTATGGAAGCACGTAAGGCTAATCCAGCAGCGCAGTGTTGGTGGACTTACACGAATCTCCTATCTGATATACACTCCTCTAGAGAGAGAAAAGGACGTGTAGAACCGAATAACAGTTTCTTCCTCAGCTTCATAGTATTCATTAATCAATCACCTTGCTTTGCAATGTGAACTAGCCATGGATTGCAACCTCGATTTTAGAATAATCACCTAGTCGTGTAAGACGAAAAAGTTCATTCTGGTACCTACCAACACACTGTGTTCGCAAGATCTTGAGCTATTTGCTCACTGTATATATTTCTTCATATTTTAGAGGCTTTGTTCGAGATCGAAGGACTAGCGAGAAGTGAAGGCAACAACTCCACGGGTTTGCAGCTCGAATATTTTGTATCTTGTTGTAACTAGGCTAGCCCGACGCCATATACCACCAGGTCGAACAGCACCGCTACCCCATTCTGGGCTGCAATATCTTAGGCGTTACGATGCCACCGTTTCATAGTAGTCTCGCCATTCGCCAATGTCAGGATACCATTTCATGATTCGGCCAGTAGGGTTTCCATCACTATCGAAATGCAGCTCACGCCGCGCAAGTTGTGACCACATCTCGACATCGTCGCCGCCCACGGCTAAATTCTCCGCTTCAACCTCGACATTTCTTAGCGCAATGCTGTGAAACGTTCTACTATCCCACAAACCGTCACGTCGGTTGAACTTTCCCAAAAGATATGTTGCTCTGTGCCTCAATGCAGCATCGCGACATTGGCACGCTGCGACGAAAAGGGCCATCGTGGGCCCGTTGTCCATGCTGAACACATCGGCGCATCCTCCACAGTTGGACTGCCTTTGGATGATGATCTCCGCCAGCTGTATCATTTCCCGGAATGCAGGCGTCAGCACCTCCACTGTCTTGGCATCCTTGTAGCTCATGCTGATCGCGTCGGTCCAGAGCAGTAGATGCTGGACTCGTAGATTGCACGCTTCGACATACGTGTCAAAATCTCGTTCCTGGTTGAGTCTGAGGTAGTCGTAGACGCCCTGGAAGGCGTTGTGCCAGCGCCTAAGGTGACCAAGAAACTCGGGAAGAACTGCCCTAAGCTGATCGGTGTCGCCTAGTTCGGAAGTCTTCCTAGACCAAGTGCCAACGAGCATCTCCTGCGACATATCGTCGGCGTACATCTCAGTGTAAATGGGGCACCTGTGACAGGTGTAATGCTGTACGATTCTCCACCATCGCCGTGCGACATGAAGATCGGCGAACGTGGAAGGCATCTCCTGCACAGCGAATGGCCGTTTGCTTCCCCGGCAGCACCAACTGATCTCCCTCGTATCCTTCGAATGGAGCACGTTGTGCGACCACGACTGCATCGTCATGCCTTGAAATATCCATGCAGCATCGTCGCATAGAGAGCGGACAGAGTCTGTCTGCGGCGCGTCCTCTACCATTGAGCGCCGATTGAAGTAGTGCTCCATCATCTTGTAAGCGTGGTTCACATGCGACAGCGCCGCGTTACGGTCGCCGTGTAAACACTCAAACGTGACGAACAGCACACAGCAGATGATGGCCCACAACATGTTTTCGCTTGACGGCTTCGACGTGCGTACGAGCTTGATAGCCCGCCCGTAGTGTCTCAGCGCAACCTCGTAATGCGGCCCATTGCTGTAAAACTCCTTTCGGGTCCGGCGCTTGAGGTTGGGGACAAGGGCACGAGCCATCGCGGCCATTGCAAGGGCGGCGTGCTTGATGGCCGGCTCCTGGCGAGCAAGCTGTGGTAAGATACGGCTCATGACATCGTTGGGGAAGAGATATATCCTGCCGACGAGGCCGCGCCAAAATTCGAAATAGCCTTGCTCTTCGGGATTTCTTAAGAAGGCTCCATCATAGCTGGGTTCCATGAGGACATCCTGCACCCTCACTGTTCCTTTGGCTAGGATTTTCCGCGGAGCTGCTTGAATGCGGCGGTCAGATCCGTATCCTTCACATGCCACCGGGTTTCGAGTCGACCTTGTGCATCTCAAACAAAAAGGTCGTGTCTCGTCGCACTTTACATGTCGTCGTCTGGGTTGGTGGTTAAGATTGCTGAATCCTGCGGACAAGGGTGCAACGATGCTTGATGGCGGTACTTACTTGCATGTGATACAGCCGGTCCTTACCTTCGTTGCGCCGACCCGCTTGTTTCGAGGGCGCTCCTGTAAGGTGAAAGTAGCCATCTGGGGGGACATTCCTGGAAGTCTAAGACAGTGAGAAATGACCCTCAAAGACTAGTCTCCACGATGGCGAATGTGCTGACGCGGGCGGCGTACCTTGTCTTCCTTCCCCGAGCCCCGGTCATCAGCGGAGCCAGGCCACCGACAGTGGGGCCGGGACTGGACGCCGTGGAATTCGACGTTGAGCCTGAGGATTGCGAGGCCATTTCAAGTTTGTGAAGTTCAGGCCCAAGAATGAGACATTTGGAATCAAGAGAGAGGAGGATCCGCGGAAGTAACGTCTAGTTCTTTGAGACGACCTGAGGTATAAATTGTTGATGCCTGCAGACGTCAGCGTTCTACCGAAGAGGAGCGTGAGACTGAACTGGTTAGCGCGGTAGGGCAGAATCCTTCGCGCAGACAAATGGTCATCATCAAATACAGCCCCCCCTACCCTGGACGAGGAGCTTATTGGCTGGGATCTTATCAGGCACCGCCGAAGTTCGGACAAAGGAGTCTATGGTTTTTGGAGAGCAATGTCTAGTCAGGAGAGGTGGCGGCCATAGCTAAATAGCTCTGCGCATCGTCATCGTTCGTGTTATTTAACCTTGATGCAGACAAAGGGGTTCCAGAACGTTGTGTGCCATGGTTGGTTCCAGAGCAATACGACCTTGCCATTGGGTCCTTCACAGCCACGAAGGATGAGTTTCCTATCTGGAGGGGATAATCTGATTGAACGGTCGCTATGAAGCTTGCTGATCTTCGTGAAGGCCTCCTCCAATCAAATCACCCAGGTCGTATACGCGGGCTCCTTTATAACCTGGTGCTGTCAGTTTCACGATTTCGGATATTGGTAGGGAAATCTGATATCCTTGGAATCGCTAGATATGAGATTGTATGCATTGGTTGCAACGTCACCCTTGATTTGTTGCGGTTGCAGCGAGTAGTTTCGTGTAAACTTCATGGCTAAGGTCGGGCGAAGGTTGGCATTGTTTAAAACCAAGGAGATCCGCGAATTAGTATGGGGCTACAAGGGGAGTAAGGGGCCGCTACAGCGCAACGGTTGCTTCTGTCATAGAGCCCCTCCCACTGAAAGCCACTGGTAGCTACCGCTCAACCACAACCAAAGATGTTTATCTATTATGCCAGGCACAACATTCCTTCCCCTGCAGGTCAGTGTAAGAGACCTAGATTTACAGGCCCATCTCTACCCCCAGCCGGGTATAAATCGTGTGCAAATGTAAACTGTGCAGTGTCGTTTGAACTTATAGGGCGATCCTCTTACTATTCAGTGCGAGCCTGAACACATTTAGCCATTTACAGCGACACATGCTAGTTGATGCAGCGGAGATCGCCTTTCACGATAAAATTCAGAATCGGCAAATTGTGAAAATGATAATCCAATTGATTGTCAAACTATTTAATATATGCTTCAATGAATTTTGAATATTACTGACAAATGAAATAAACAGGCTAACTCTGGAATCATTAGAAGGTACATATAAGCAACAACATGAAAACATTATGGTCCGCTGGAATTACACCTCTCAACAGTGAGCATCAACAGTTCCAAACTCGCTGGCGTTCGTCATGTGGCTGTGACCGCTTTTGGAAAAGTGTCGAACAACCGTCTTTCCGCTGCTAGCACGACGGGTCTGCTGTTCGTGCATGTGCTGGGTCATCCTCTCCTCCAGCCTCTCCATCTCGCGGCACTTCTCCTCGTACTTGGCAATAGCTTCATCACGCTCGCGATCGGCCGCGTTGCGTGCGCTAATAGCCTTCTCCTTATGCTCTCTTGCTTCGCGGAGCATGGTTCGCATGCTGGAAATCTCGAACTCGAACCCGGAGCTGCCGTCCTCGTACTCGGTGACGCTCTCGCAGACCTCCTCATATCTTCCCTCCCAGTCGCGGCACTTGTGCTTGAGGGAAGTGCACTCGGTGGTGAGGTTGTCGACCTCAAGCTTGAGGGTGGCGATAAGGGACTTGTGGGTCTGTATCTCGATCTCAAAGTCCTTGGCTCTGGTCTTTGCGGTGTTGTAGTCCAGTTCGAGCTTTTCAATGCGCTCAATTTTGGAGTGGACTTCCTCCTGTGACTTGATGAGAGATGATTCAGTGTGGTTGAGCGACTCCTGCACGATAAGGAGCTGGCGATGGTTCTCATCGGCGCGGCCGCAGTTGCGGCTGCTCTCCTCCTCAAGACGCTTCTTCTCGAGGAGGAGAAGACGGAGCTCTTCGGTCTTCTTGGAGATGGTGTCGCGGAGCTCAGTGTGACTAAGCTCAATGCGAACGATGTCTTCGCGGGCAGAAGCAATCTCACGCTCGGAGTGCTCCCACTTGAGCTTCCACTTGCCGCAACGGTCCTCGGCCTCTTCCCACTTGCCGTGCTCCTTGATGATGTCTCGCTTCAGCTTCTCAATGTGCTGCTCAAGCTCTGTCTTCTCGTGCTTCACCTTGGTTACACGCTGCTCGACCTTGGGGATGGTCTCCTGTAGCTCCTTGACTTCGAGCTGCTTCTTTTCGTAGCGCTCTTCCAGATCCTTGAGCTTGCGCTTGACCTCATCATGCTTGTGGTCGTACTTGCGCAGCTGCTCTTCGAATTCGCCCTCTCTGTGGAGCCACTCGTGCTTCTCCTTCTTCAGCACTGTGTTAATCTGCTTGAAGTGCACGAGTTCTTTGTGCTGTGTGTCAAACTTGCTGTTGAGTTCCTCGTGACGTGAAAGCAGCTCTGTGTACTTCAGGTCCAAGTTGTCACGATCAACGCGGAGCTTGCCGAACCTGTCTTCGAGGTCGACACGGGCGGTCTCAGTAGCCATCAACGTTTGTCTCTGGTGCTCAGTAGTTTTCTTCATCTCCTCATGCTCTTTTCTGACGTGTGTGAGACTGTCTTTGGTCTGGGCAATCTCATGCAGGAGGTTTCGGCACTCAGCGTCTCTCTCTGCGAGTTTCGTCTTGAACTCGGCGGTGCTATTGGAGGCTGCCTTGAGCTGGAGACGGATCTTGAGTATTTCCTGCTGGCGCTCCTCATGCTCATGGTGGTTATGGCTGTGCTCCTTCTCCTTAATCTCAATGATCTCGGAGAACTCTTCAATGCGTTCATGCATTCTGTCCATCTCAGCGTAGCAGGACTCGCGCTCGGCAATGATTTTGTTCCAGACTTCTCTCAAAGAGCCGCTACGTCGGGACATGCTGGCCATAAGCTCCGTGAGAGCAAAGAACTCACCCTCGGCCTGAGCCGTAAGTTCCTTGCTCACTTCGGAACTATGGTGTCGTTGGTAACTTGTACCCCATGATGATGCGCGGCTTCGACTGATCCGACGGCGCGTACTCAGGCTGTGGCCGTGGCTGTGACCGTTGCTGTAAGATCTTGTGGATCCAGTAGGGCTGCCATCCCGGGATAGAATCTCGCTGGATCGGGGCATACGCCTGGTACGGCCCATTTCAATTGAGTGGTTATGGGTGTCGGGTGATGTAGACAGATCTGCGTCATTGCCATCTGTCATATGGGAGTGGACGGCCTCTTTGCTGAGAGGCATGTAAATGCCGTTCAGGTGGGTATCGTAGGTCGCCATATTGTCGAAGTATAGTCAATAGAAAAGAGAGATCAGGTATTAAGACTCGTGTAGAGTTCAGAAGTGAATCTGACTGGGTTGATGAAGGGAAGAGTGAGGACGAAGGTAAAATCATCAGGGGCATGAACCTCACTATATAGGCTGACCCGTCATGCACCCAATGCTTTTTCAAGCCAAACCCGAGATTGCTACCTCATCTTCATTACCAGGAATACCATCATGTACACAGAGCCTTTCCCCGGAACAGGGTCCTTCTGGCTGTGGAACAGCTGATTTCCAGAAACGGCCATGTCGCATGCCACAAGCGCGGTCTTCCCCGCCCGAAGGAGACGTCGGGGGGACAAAACCACAGCTCTTCCCTTCTGCCCAATGCATGGAGTTGTTAGTTACCGCTGATTTCAACGGCCGACGTAATTGAAAAGTCATGAAGTACGTTAACGGTCAGGTTTTGTCTGCGAGCATCTCGGCTATGCACTGTTCCTCACTGGTCCCTTGAACAATTTGTCTCGGAATTTCAGACAATTTCACAGGTGGAAGAGGACCCAAGACGGACGGCTCAAGCCACGCATAACTCCACGGTTTTACGCGGTGAAAACCCCTAAGTCTCGGCATTGCCGGCGGACTGTGAAAGTGGTATCCGCGATTAGACAGATGGTTGCGGTTTAGCCAGCCACAGGACTGCGGGAAACAAGACATCCCGCGGCTGATCTTCCCAACCCTTCACTTTGATAGGCTCGTTTACTGCCGTCCCATATCCTAAATGCCATGGTGGCTTCCGACATACTCTTCTCACACACAATCTCAGCCATTTGATGCATACCTAAAGGGGCATTTATTGCATTTCAGCTACGGAACACGCTGAGGGGCTTGCACTTGGCAATGGAGCGACCGATGCTATCTCGTATTGCGACGCGCCTTCTGCATCGCAATCATTTACCTATCTCTCGAACGGGACATATTTTTACTTTTCCTTGGGCTTTGCAATCATGTTGGAATTGGGCAGTCTCACATGCCGCCCTTAGCTGCGAATGACCCAATAACCTGGTAAGTAGAAAAGCTCTGCCCCGCATGTCTACGGGCTCCGAAGGACGATCTTCATGAAGCGATGCATATCAGAAAGAGCACTTCAAGGGCTTGGCTGCATTCAGTTCGGGCACCTGCATGGAACGTCCCGCCTTGTGTCTTAAGTTCAAGACAACAGCTTCCGATTATGTGGTCAACCGCCGGGGTTGCTTTTTCAAAAAGGGGTTCTGCTCATGCACTTTCTCTCATTTCGTACAATTCGGCGACTATTCAGCATCATTTAATACGCTATTCATCGTCGATCCTCGGGGACCTTCCACAATCGGACAACCGAGTAGATCTGGCATCTCTTTGATCCCCGAAAAGCTTGGAAACGTGCCTGTCCCATGGAAAAAATTGGGTCCATGCTTGTCGAGATATCATCATCGGCAGCCCGTATTAGCTCCATCATGTTGACCGAGACACAACCTCATGGAAGGTATCTATCACCGTTCATAGCCCACTACCTCGACTTGGTGCTATACAGGATACCGTGACTACCCCGCATAATCAGGGTAAAATTATGTTTTGCGCATCAAACGCGCTATAGTGAAAGATCATTGCCTAAGGCTCAGTCTGTTCAGACTCGTCAAGAACGATGATACGTAGCTTAACACCTGCGTTGAACATATTCTGTCAATGGTTTTCCAAGATGGGTCTAAACTGACTCAGGACTATCAACGCTGTGATTTTTGCGCTCCGCCATCGTAAATTGCAATTGGCCACGCTTCAGATTGTCAAAGCGACTTGATTTTATTACCTAGGCTAGCTCACGTGGCATCATCTGCAGCTGCGTTTTTAGTAAGGCTCGGCTACGTGGCAGGGCTCTATTTATGATTTCGCTGCTAGCCAAGAGCTGTATCACCATGCTGCATCATGCGGGGGACCCTTAGTGCGTTGTATCCTTTGGGGGGCTGTTACTGGACATGAAGCCGCATTTAAGACATGTGAAGTTGGTAGCAAAGCCAGGCAGAACCGCAATAGACAGCTGCCATATTAATCGATATGTCATTACCATTATACTCTTACGCTTGGAATTTGAAGCCATATCAATTTCTGGTTTTGATGAGTGACTTTGGCCAGCAGTATGACAAAACAGGGAAAAAATAAACCTAGGCAAAAGTCATGAAAGACATTCTTTAACGCTTCCACAAGACAACTCCCGACCAATCAGAATCAACTACTATGATCGCGATACCTTCCACGAATGCCATGTATGGACATGCCACTAGACATATTGGTTGCTACATTCATGGAACAAAGCTGGGATATGAGATAATAAACTGGTTTTTAAATGTGTGCGCCTGTACTCAAATGACACCGTATTTACGTCCATCATTCTTCACCAAGACTATATGTCAGCCCCTGGTTCGTCAAATGTCAGAGGGCCCATTTCTGTCATGGGTTTGAAGGATCTGGAGCTTTTCTTGTTATCATGACTCCGCAAAGTCGGAAGGTTCGGCCTATGATGTAATAGTCCGTACAATCGACCTTGCTACCACACAGACCCGCTACGACAGACCACTTCCAACACACTTCCCAACCCCTTCTCCACGGACATCCGTGTGATAAAACGATACTTCTCACTCCTCAGATAGATTAGTTCATCCTCAAATTAAACTTCATTCATCTAAGAGCTCCATATATTCTTCATCATTCTTCGAACGGCTTCGAAAATCCGTTGTACAAAACCACCCGATCCGCTGTCGATAACTCATAAACGAGTCATGTTTCTCTCCAATAGAGCTCCGGCGAAACCGCTTCCCCGCTTCCAGACCAACACGCCGCTAGACTCAACTTTCGACAGGGACATTCGCGACGTACATCTCATCTACGATTATAACGCCGAGGATGAGCAGGGTAATCCGGAGAAGTGGCGCTACGAAATGTGGTTCTACTCTGAGGACCGCATCGTCTACGCCATCCATGGCGGCCCCATGGCTGGTCGTGTAAACTATCAGGCTGCCACTTACCAGTGCATCCGCCCCGGCGAGCTATGGCAGGTTAACTGGCTTGAAGAGACGGGCACCGTCTGTTCACTGGTCTATGACATCCCAAACCAGAAGATTTCAACCCTCATCTCGTTTTCCCGGGGGCACTGGGAAAACCCGCAGGCGGCGCATGGTGACAAGAGGAATCCTGGTGACTTTGCGCGTTGGAGGGTGCTAGCAAGGTTTGGACACCAAAGCGATAGATTTATGCTGTCTGAACAAGCAGACATCGCGGAGAAGTTCAAGGGCAAGGGTGATCTAGTGCCAATTCCCAAAGATGCGTTGACATTTTAAATTGCGCTTAGTACAGGTGGGGGGGTGTGGGAAGCACAGAGCATGTTTGGTCATGTTTACTATAACCTGAAAGACAATGAGACACTCTTTGAACCAAGAAAATGTTGATGGAAGAAAAATAAGTATTTCTGAGTGGTAAAAAAGACCGGATAACTTCCTTGTGGCCTTTCGAGCTAAGGACTCAAGTGATCGACGCCATTGCTTGGCCAACGAGATATCTTGAAGAGAAATGTGTAACTGGTGTAAATTTGATGAGTTGATGTAAAAGTAAATATGTGTATTTTTTGCTATCAAATCACAACTTGTCATCCTAGTTATGGAGAGGTTGATAATAGTCTACCGACAGACTTTGGTTTGGCCAATGCCAGCGATGTTTTCCAAGTTGCACTTCAAGCCTTTGCAACATTCGTGAGGCAGCGGGTCGTTATCATTACAGAATTCTAACAAAATGCGGGTTAGTTCTTTTAAGCTAGACTTCTCCGTGCTTAATGGCCAGAAACCTACCATCAGCTCTTCTGCAGTCGTTCTGTCGAGGAAATATTTCTGTTCCAGCAGTGTCACGCTGGAATTCGAATGTTAGTTGTGTATGCCTAATGAAGAGATTCCCCTTTTCTATGAGGCAAATATTCTTACAGCATGAGTAACAGCAGCTGACGTAACGGCGAGGAAAGTAGCAATAACAATAGTGAACTTCATCTTGGTAAAGTGTGGCCAAAAAGTATAAAAAGTTTAAAATATTGAATTTGGAAGTACCAGACTCCTTAATTTGAAGTTGAAGAAGATTGATTTTTGCGGTGACAAAGTTGACTGTACTCAAGAGGCAGGTAGCAGACGAGCGTCACTTTTATATTACTCGGGCACTTGCTCGGGTTACCAATGTTACTACATCCGGTCAACATTATTACTTCAGCTACGCGTATTAACTAGCCTTGTTATTTCCCTATTCGGAATCAATGGCTTATGTTTCGCCAGGGTATAGACTCATGTTCTGGCATAAATGCCACGAGAAAGTTTGAATGTGATGTTGATCGCGATCGGTAAGTTTAAGCGGAGCCTATCTTGCGTGAACCACAACTCAAGCTGCTCTGACGAGACCCAAGTGTCTGGGTTGGAGTCTTCAGCAGCTGTCTCATTCTTGAACAGTCAGACTTAATATTGGCGGTAAAGCCGGGCTGAACCTCAGAGTTGGTCGTAATCATTGGAGTCGAGGGTTCGTCTGAAACGTCCGTCTGAAACTCGCCTCCGAGCCCCAGGTTTCCTGACTCAAGGCTCAATATATTTAGACTAACGCGGCTGTGCAGAGAAAGGAAAGTATTTGGCAAGAAAAGGAATGTTTCGCCGGAGCGTAACTGAACAGCGATGTTGCGGAAAAGTCTTGATTTAACCTACAATGACTTGTCTAATCACTAAGGATCAAACCATGACTAGGTAACATTTTTGATCCGGGCCAACACTTGGTAAATACTTCCAAGTATCCGACTCCGATAAGGCCTTTAATTTTGTGATATTCAACCCAGAACGTCATCTTGACGGATTAGAAAGCTAACCTCTCGAGGCCACCGCACCCCTAGTTTTCTAGTTGATATACCCATGCCTTAGTAGGCGACAAGGTTCCTTTGATAAGATTCTCCCATGCTTTCTCAATTCCAGCCTGTCCGCCAACTCCGCTACCCCAAACCAATCCTATATCACCCAGGTAATTTTCTGCGACAGCTCTCTCGAAAGCACCTTCTACACCCTGGCAAAAGGCATCCGCGCCTTCCGCAGCAATGGCAGCATCAGCCACGTCAGTTGTGTTTAGCTGTGCTGTATGACCCCATCTTGCTTTGAGTGCCATTGAAGCCTGAAACTCTTCCAAAGATTCAATCTTGGGCACATTTCCTACCATGACTAGGGTAAGTGCAGTCGAAGCAGGAAGTGAATCCACGAGCAGTTCCCGAAATCGCTCGGTAGTTTCAGCAGGACCTCCATTGTCCAGTACCACCACACGATTCGGCTTAAAATTTGCGATCCAGTCCATTGTCTCCTTATCGACAAGATTGTCGTAGTTGACGGACTTTACTTCAACCGCCGGCTTGTGGGCATGATTCAAGGTTTGTGGCGAAGAAGTAGCGTTCAGCAACGCAAGAGGGCCGTTAACATTCGGCTTGCGATTCCTGGTAAAGTTCCACGCAACACTTCTTCCTGTCCTGCTTGATGCAGATAGGTTAACCACCACGGCAGACTTCAGATCTGCGTCCTTCTCTGTCCACTCTCCAGAACTCCCAAGTGGATGGACTGGTTTGAATTCTGTCGGGAAGTTGAAACGATTGATCAGATAGCCGGCATGCCAGATCGGAAAGGCATTGGCGAGAATAGCCCTGAATTCTTCTGATTTGGCAGTTTCATCGACGATGTTGTACCGATTGTAAATGTTGCCCAGCCCCTGCCTGTGCTCGCTCACCTCGACGAAGTGACCCTTTGCTTCGTGAGATTGAAGCTTGAGGTCGACTGCGTGAGTTGAGGTAGGCCAGCAGCCGTAAAGCAAGCTACCGGCGGGGATGGAGTCGATTGTGGACTCGCGAACCCTGCCAAAGCCCCACGCCGGGACGATACCCCATTCGTCCTGATTGTTGTAAGGGGCAGGTGCGTTGAGAGGGACTGGCCAGGTTGACCACCACTGGAGGTAGTCTCCTAGCTTCGCATAAGATAGGTTGTTCGACGTGATACTGATGAGCGAAGAACGAGCTCGAATGGATGAGGGGCCAAGCGGCGGCAGAGAAAGGTTAACTGGGACCGTCTCATGCTTGCTGATGTCTTTCTTAGAGATGATGTGGATTTCGGCTGACATGATGGATGATATCTTTGGGCAGTCTTTAATGAACTTTGCGGTACTGATCAGGAATGTTTAGACAACGAAGGGAAGTGAGAGGGAGTATATCGTTTAAGGCGGATGTTTAATCGAACTGATCTATCCGCCGAAAAGTATCAAGGGAGGACTTTAGCTCGACAGGATGACTAAACAATCCTCCGATTTACCTAGGTTATCAACTGGCTAAGACACAACATCCGAGACCACTAATCCTGCATCCACCCTTGGAGTTAAGGCTTGGTAATCTTTGACTCGATTTGATACAATGGTTGCCTGGCAGGCCCGCTTTGATTGAAGTGACTCACCAGTCACCATGAACCCCAATCGACAAACCCACATAATTTCAATGATGAACCAGTATTCAAATTTTCTGCAGGCTGCTGAGGTTGCATTTTTTCCGCAAATAGCTTGCAATTGATTATTGATTTCTCGCTATTTTCTCACCGCATGCAATATTGTTGTAGGTGGACGCGTACGCTGACACCAATTATGGGGCAGAGGTTGGGAGGATGAACTAGTTGTAGCTGACTTTACCAGGAATTGATGTCTGACGAAAACAAGTCATCAACCATCACTATTTATGAGCAAGCTATTAACATAACAAAGGTCCTCATTATCCAATTCTATGCCGTCCCAAAAGCCTTTTGATGTCCGGTCAAGGTGAATCGGTAGTGGACTTTGTTGTCCTTGACCCTCTCAATCGCCTCTTTGCAACCATCTTCGGAAATGTCAATCGTCTCAACCCACGGCTTGATGCCCTTCTCTGCTGCGAGTTTCAACAGCGCGTCCATCTCTTGGTGGTTGCCAATGTGACTTCCCGACATCTTGGCTGAGTTGCTGGCAAACAGGCTTGCAGGGAATTGGGGAAGCGGCTTGTCCGGCAGTCCCACCATGTGAAAATGCCCACCGACCTTCAATGTTGATAGGTATGTCTGTAAGTCGAACTCGTTGGTCATATCGGAACAATTCAGCATGAAATCAAACTTGAATGCCAATGGTTTGGCCCAGTCCTTCTCATTGGTGTCGATAACCTCTTTGGCACCCAACTTCTTGCAGTCTTCGGCCTTGTCAGGCGAGTGCGTGAGGGCGTAAACTTCGGCGCCGAGCGCCTTGGCCCACTGCACACCGAGGTGACCCAGGCCGCCGATGCCGACAATAGCGACGGACTGACCCGGCCCCACTCCGCCTCGGACTAGAGGGGAGTAAGTCGTCAACCCGGCACACAAAAGCGGCGCCGCATCTTCAGACTTGAGCTCATCTGGGATCTTAAAGGTGAAGTACTCGTGAGCACGGATGTGGCTTGCGAAGCCGCCATGAGCTTGGCTGCCGTCCTCGTATGTCGCATTGTATGTGTCTGGTACATGGGGTTAACCAGATGCTGGATACGAATGGCATTCAGGAACACAACTTACCAACCAAGTGAGGGCAGTAGTTCTCGTTTTGGTTCTTGCATTGCTCGCACTTGAGGCACGCCCAGACCTGGGCTCCCACGCCAACCCTGTCGCCAACCTTGATGTCCTTGACACTCTTGCCGACGGCGATCGCCTTACCAACAACCTTGATGGCGTTAACATATTGTATCCGTACACCTGCTCTAAGATGCTAACTAGCACTCACCTCGTGGCCGACACACAGGGGACCCTCGTATTCACCCCAGCCGCCGGTGACAGTGTGGACGTCTGATCCGCAGACACCGCAGCATTCGATCTGCACGTCAATGTCGTGATCCCCAAACGGTTTCGGATTCAGGGTCTCCTTGGTGAATTTGTTCCACGTCTTCGGGCCTTGGACGCAGAATCCCTGGAACTTTTCGGGGTAGCTCATCTTGATTGGTTTGTAGGAGGTAGTCTAAATGATATTATCTCGAAATACCAATGCTCATGTACTAAGGAAACGAAAACGTCCAGAGAGCCTGTACCTTTTTTATGTTTTTATATGCGCAACCCCTCGCGATGACGCTTGAATTTACTCAGAATTTCCCCTACTATCAGAAGCCCGTCTTACAGCTCCAGCGGCCGACAGACTATCGGCATAGGCCTCGGCTGTCTGCTCACTGTCCATCGAAAAAGGCCTCTCGATGAATGACGTCTATGAATTTCACACCTACTCAAAAACAGATCCACTATCGAGGCGTTCGGTCCCTGCCGAGATAGCGGCGCTAAGGCTATCCAGGAGATAGCTTATACCTTAGCTCCGAACACTTGGCGCCTGGCCTCACATAGGCCACTGATAACGAGCTATTTTCCGCCTAGGATGCCAATCCTTTTCCAAAACAGAACTGCCCAGAAAGCCTCATGACGCCAGGTTTCCCTCACCATTACCGACCATATCGTGTCACTGCCGGCGTAGGAGCCTCAATTGAAGTAGAAATTCGTCGATCTGGAATAGAAGTCCCGATGTTGCACAAATTAACCCACAATCAAAATGGATCCCACGGGGAAGGAGTAGACTCCGTTGTGGAAAGCCAATCACGAGTTTCTGGGCCCAGGCCTGGATCCACTGTGCGATTAGGTTACCCAAAGGATAGAAATGTGACGCGTTGACGAGGTACTAGTACTAAGCTACTGGATACTCGAAATGTGATTCTTCGAACCAGATGCGGGGTTACGATATGTTAAGAACACCGACAAGCGGCTGGTGGAAGTCGAACCCTGATATTCTATGGCTCTAGCTGCCTAAAAGTCAAAGGATCTGATGTTCGGGAGACGGGTCGAAGCGACTCGAGCACATGTGGAAAACTGTCACAAACATGGCTCGGCTAGACTTGTCCACACAGCGTGGATATACGTCCCTATTCCTGGTAAATTTCAAAGTTTGTCAACTCAGAATAGTACAGTATCTGTTGCCAATGATGTCTTCCAAATGGCTATGACTTAGTCTCGGTATGAAGCAGGAGAGTATGGACAGTCCACGGGTTAATATCCGCGATGAAGGCGCTGCTTTAGGGATAAGATCATAAATCTGAAAAAACAACTTATAACAAAACGATTAGATACTTCTAGTCAACAACTGATGAGCTGAGTCTTTGGAACCACCCAGTTATGAGGATCAGCCGTGAAAAGATTTGGAAGAAAAGGGAGATGCTCCAATCTGCTCATAACGAGACTGAGTATTAACCAGGCTCTAGAAAGACTAAAATTACGATAGTTGTTTCAAATATAGCGAAGGAAAAAGTAGAGAGGCAGACGGAGCATTCAGTTCCCGTTTCTAAAAGCAAAGGCAAGCGCCACGTCAGACTTGTTTACCAGAATGAGACAGCAGCGGAACTGGGTATGTAAGCATCGAATCACCGCCCAAGAATGCACCGTAAAAGAATGGATGTGAAGATCTGATCTATAACCTACTTGGACAGAAAACGTCTATTTTTCCCTCTGATTTGGACATAATTCAGTCTGGTCAGGCGAGGCCAGTCACTAATGACAAATCAAGTTCACCAACACATCATCAAACTCCCACAAACGTTCAATAAGACATCAGAAACAATTGATCATCAAAAGAATGTATTCAGACTAAACTAGTCAAACATCTCCCACAGCGCCGCCATCAATTTGTATTCCCAACCTTACCTTTGCAAGAAAAAGAGCGACGCGAAGCCGTACTAAAGCAGTCGAAACTCAAAGACAAACTCAGAGCTCGTTCTCCTTCTTGCGGGCATCAATGACAGCCAGAGCCTCCTCAGCAGCCTTGACTCCAGAAAGAGCCATGGCACCAAAAGTAGGACCTACACACGCATATTAGCACCCGCCGTACCCATACCACAAAAACTGAAGAGAGGAAAGCAAAAACTCACCCATTCTGTTGGCACCGTCAACCTCGGAAAGCTCCATGCCGCCGACGATCAAACCAGGTACAATCTCCCTGGTGCCCTTCACAATCGCGTCCTCGGCAGTCTGCATGTCCAGACCACGCATGCCGCCAAGCTGCTCAATCTGCTTCATGCTGACGAGCCTCTTGACGGAGAAGGCGCCGAACGGGCCGTCGTGGCCGGTGGTGGAGATGACGAGCGGGGCGTTGATGGTGTTGGGGTCCATGCAGGACTGGTCGTCGTGGTGCATGCTCACGAGGGTCCAGTTCGTCACGACACCAGCGATCCTCACCTGCCCGTCGGCGTCCTTCCGGGTAATCAAGTCTTCGACGGTGGTGGCGTTGAAGAGCTTGACGTTGGGGAACTGCAGGACCTTGCTGAGGACGGTGCTGGTGAAGAGGGCGGCGTGCTTGACGACGACGAAGTCGCCTTCGTCCTCGAAGTCGACGCCAATCTCCTTGAGGAACACGTCGGCGGGCTTGCGCATGACCATGGCGCTGAACAGCTGGCCTCCGAGCCAGGCACCACCGCCGGGAGCCACGCCGGCCTCGACGATGGCGATCTTAAGGTCCGGACGCTGCTTAGCGAGGACGTACGCCGTGCTCAGACCACAGGAACCCGCGCCGACGATGACGATGTCGGACTCGGCGTAGTGGTCGAGGTCCGCGAAGTAGCGACGCGTCATGGCACGCGAAACCTGACTCTCCCGGATAGGAGCGAAGGTGAAGCTGTCCCACTTCCCAAACATCTCTTCCACCGACTGGGTGGATGAGGTGGAGGGAGGGGCGACGGACTTGGCCTTGCCGGTAGAGTAAGTGACGGCGAAGTCACGAACGGGAGAGACGGCAGCGGGAGGAGCCATTTTTGTATGTTTGGGAGGGTTTCTTTCTCACTTATTCCTTTGGAACGAAGAGGATAATCTGTTTGTGTTAGGTTGCATGATCCTTTCGCTGGTATTACCCAGATCAAGTTCAAGGCCGTATAATCTCAGCCCAACCCTCACATCGGCCTCTGCTCACCATGAGATGGCAGCGACTGTCTGCGGAGGGCCGGACACCGGCTCATGCATGTTCGAGAGAAGTTACATACTCTAGGTTTTGTTGGCTTGAGAGAAGCCTTGCCTGGTAAAGTGTCAGCTTGTATACGTTCTCAACTCATGGGATAGGGCCTACTGATTGCGTGTGTCTGGTGTCTTTGTTCTTCCTGTAACAGGTTGATGAGTCTTGAGTCTGGACAGCAGAAGGGAGAGGATTTCCTTCGTCTTAAATACCCAATTGATAACAAAACTCTCTCATATCTCTTGCGGGGTAGGGGGAGGCACAATTCTCAGACCAGTCCGCTTCGCACTGCTGATTGGGGCGTGATCGGCCATGTCGCCATGCAACCCCAAGGGTAAACGAGAAAGAATCCTCCCGTCTTCGCTTCGAACACGGGGTGTGCGGGTCGTCGTCGTCCAACGGTTGGGGGCCAATGCCTCCGCGTGGAGACCTGTTCCGAAAGCCGATGTCACCCGCACCTCAAGCGGCCGGGGGTAATCGTTGGATGGTGCCGGAGCAATGGTCCCCTTCCCCGCCGTGGGGTCCTTTTTTTTTTCTTCTCCCCCAACATTTATTTACTTTAGACATAATTCGTAAATGTCACATGGGCCGAGCCTCAGACTCACCATCCGTAATCAAGTTGGCTCATCCTATCGCGGAACTGCCGTTTTGGGTTATGCTGCCCCTTGGCCGCCGAGTCCGGAACCACTCAGAAGCCCATACCGGAATGGCCCGGCTTTGGCGGGACCCCTTGGCGCGGCTTAACTTACGTCGAGGGAATAATAGGGTTCCTCATGCTGCTTCTGTAGACAAAATCGCGCAATGCCAACGATCATGGATGACACAGCTCGCAGCGAGGTTTACTTTGCATGGCGACGAATCATGAACCTCTTAGATATGGAACTATGGAACCAGTGACGAATCCTCCATCTGTGAATGGTAAATTAGGTACGCCCAACCAAGCGCCGGTTTGGTATTGGCTGGTAGATCATGCTTGCGCGGTATTTTGCATGCGAGAGACGCATTAGCACATGTGAGAATAAGGCATGTGCTAGTCGTAATCCTATCGCCAACGACCCCTCATAAATGACAATGACAGTGTCGTGACAGGAATATGACCATGTCACAAGTAATTGATGTGCCTATCGCCCAAGAACTTCTGATGCGCAAACATTAGGATTGATATTTGGTATTAACTTCGCACCGAGGAGCGCCCGGCGCAAACGCGAGGAGCCGCGAGCAAGCTTATGGATATGTGTTGGCATGCCGAAGCAGCCAACTTCAGATACGCTGGACCTGTTCTGTTTGCCATCTCCAAGTGCGGGGGCTATGAGAGAGAGAGAGAGGATCTGCTGGTCTAGCTTGGCTAGTGGATCTAGCGTATAGTATAGATCATAAAGACCATCGAGGACAACGGTCGTGTTTGTGCCGTTCGTCAACAGTTCGCAGGGCCAAGTTGCCAAGTTGTTGGAGGCAAATATTGACGGCCACTGAACACACATCGGTCATTACCGCGCCTTTTTTGCAGCTCCCGTGCTTTCTTCATACGGAGCTGCGAACCCGTCCCCGTGCCCATACTCTTCGCCCGTCGATAATAGCAACGTTCCGCCCCTTCGTACGCCGTCATCGCTCCTCACGTCTGAAGGCGTCGCTGGGCCCGACACGCTGCCCTCCGAATCTGATCCCGTGGAATCAGTCAATCCGTCGTCGCCCAATGATTCCCAAAACCTATGAGCCGGCGAACCCGCTAGCTGGCCTAGCTCTGCTAACGCGTTACTATGTCCGCGGTCGTACCAGGCAATCAGATACCATCTCCTTGGTGCCAGAAGCATGACCTCACACCAGACCACGAATATCATGAGCGCCACGGGCTCTTTAAACCACAACAGTGAGAGATATTGCTCTGATACGAGTGACGGCCAGATGATGAAGTGCTTCCATATCCGTGGCCGTCCGGGCAGCGAACTTATCCAGGACCTGAGGGCAACGAGGGCGCCTAGATATGTCTTTGTATCCTCGGCTTTCAGGCCTGTTGTCTGGGGACCTAGCGATAAAAAGTCGATGAATTTGGCGATCTTGTGTAGCATCGGTCGCAGAGCTACGTCACTGCTTTCGCGCCATTCTTGCGCGTCAACTTGAGCCAGTTGATTCCGTATGGGGCTCTTAAATATATGCGGTGTTACCGTGTCCGAGAACTTTGCCGTCAGCCGCATCACATTGAGGGCCTTGGCTGGCTCAAAGGAATGGGTTTGCCCCATCACCTTCTCGTCCGCAAAGGGTCGGTAATATCCAAAGATGCCGTTACACATGGCAAACAGGAATGTAGCAAGCCAGTTCTCTTCCGTTACTTGTGGGACTGCGAGTCTGAAATAGTTGCTCGCTTGGATTGCATGGTGGCAGGCCATGGAGTAGTATCGCTTCATCTCGGGTGGCTCAAGGTAGCACAGGTGAAGAGCTGCAATGGAAAGCATGCTCTGGTGGATGAAGACGTTACGTGACGCTAGCTGGGGCACCCAGCGAGACCACACATCACACTTACGCGGGTCGGTCTGCAATGAAAAGGTGAACCATGCTTGCGTGAGGAAGTGATGTTTGAGCTCGGCCTCGTCAGCGCGGAGCTTCTCGGCTGGCAGCGAGGCATTCAGAGCATCTCGTGAGGAGGCATGGGCTGCGACGGTCGCGGCGCGGCGGACCATGGCCAGAGTATCATTGGCTCGGTCGCCACCGTTTTCACGGTTTAGGGTGTCGGCCAGGAGACCGAGGTAGCTGCAGTGTTCTTGTCGGCGACGACAGTTGGCGCAGACAGGACCGACACAGTCGCACTACGACACACCCCTCCGTCAGCATTATTGGCTTTGGTGATGGTACAGAATGATTAAGCCTTCGATGTGGCCTATCGAAGATCGCGTATAAAGGTCGCCTCAGCTAGATAATGTAGGAGGTAACATCACCGGATGTCTCCGAACCGGCAGTCTGCGCAGCATGTGTGAGCAGGTCTTGCTCTACACTGCATTGTTGCAGACGATGCCCTACGGTGTACTGACTAAGAGGCGGATGATCCTCACCTTAACACGGCGTTTCTTGCACTGCCGACACCCGTTCTTCGTCTTTCCATGATACTGTCTTGATCCCTTCGGCATCCTATCGGTACATCAATCGCTTGTGGGTGCTAAATGGTGTCCTTTGTTCACCCCTTTCGGTTGGATCGGCAGTCGTCAGGATGCTATAGTTTTCTTATCGTCAACGGGTGCGGGAGAGCGACACGACAAAAAACGGCGGATTTTCTCCCTGCTTTTAAGGCTGTTCGTCTAGTTTACCAGGTAGTAGACGAAACATCGAAACTCGGGGAGTGCTTGACACCGTCAGGGATGCACGGCATTCTGACGCAAACTCCAACTTTGTTCGCCGCACGTCCCCCGCTGTGACAACGGGGTGACAGAAACCCGAAGAGCGACATGTAAGAGGCCCAGGTGGCTGAAAACCAATCCTGGTGGCCGACTATCACGTGGTAATTGGCCGTTGTTAACTCAGAAGAATGTCGACTATGACGCGCATGGCAACTTTGCAGAATGTTGGCCAAACAGACATCCACAAGTAGCTTGGAAGACAGCTGCCATCCTGAAGGTTTTTCGTGTCTATGATGCTCGAAAAGTCAATATCAGGCAATGGGCCTCGCCACAGTCTTGGCTGTTTTCAGAGCAACATGCCGTTGAAAAGCACCTGCCTGATGTTGTCTTGGCCTTCCTAGCGTTGTCTATACAAGTTGCCAGAGGTTTCGAGTCATAACCCAGGTAAACAACGATAAACAAGTAGAACATCAGATCTGATTCTAAAGACGAAAAGTCTTCACAATTGCTTGACAATGCTGTGCTGCGGGGTTGTCATCTCAGCCCTATAGTACGTAGTATAAAACGCTGAAGTTTCTCAAACACGATAGGGCAATTATAGACAATAGAAAAGGAGAGCAGAGTCTGTCATCCAAGTCTTTGGTGGTGACATCCAGCTTTGAAACAACTTCAATGGTGTTTCGCACCATTAAGCTAAGCCGAAATGCGTTGAGGTGGAGTTAAGCACCCAGGTACCAAGTTGGCCCTGGAACACCGCTGCAGCAGCAGCCCCCAGACTGGGTTAGCGCGTGTAGCACACAGAAGTGGCCCTGGCTTTGAACCTTCATCTATGGCGATTCTTTTTGAACAATTCTGTCCAGTGGAAGCTGCTACAGCTGAGGGAACGGCCCAGCCGTTCGCCTGGTTGTAAGGGCTAGTCTTTGTTGTGATAGCTGAGACGATTGCATCGGCCTTCCTCTTTTGTCTCTGCTGAGGCGTGCGTGCGGTCCTCCAGCGAGTACGGGGGACCTGATACTTCAAATTGCTGAGACCTCAATGGGGCGAAGAATAGACAAATTCACCGGGGTTCAGATGGCGTTTTAGATCGTCAGCCTACTTGCATGATGAGTTTCCTCTTGACGGCCCCGCCTGTCTGCTTGTTGATACCAAACTAGACAGACTCAACATCTGTGCGCGGAAAGGCTACAGCGAAATGTGCTGATCCATATGCAAAGACTGGGGTTGTAGCCACAGGGTCGGAGCTGTCATGCTGAAAGGGCCGTGAGTATCCTGTTAGGCAGCCTTGGCGGACATATTAACGTCCTGCCTGTGACCCAATCTCTGTCTGACTTTGATATACAACTGCCATGCTGTTGAGGTTTCGGCCAGCTAATGCCAGCTGCTTCCGCAAGCTCGATCTCAGCTTTGTAGAATACTCGTTCTGGAGGCGGGATAGACGGTTATGCAAGGGCTACAAAGGCCAGAGCTTGCGTTCAGGGCTGAATTTATGGAGCCACCCGTTTACAGGCTGATGTTTTAGTTGCCCGCCAGGACGGAGAGACAGAGAGCCTGATCGCCATATTCTATGCAAAGATGTCAAGAGTAGCACCTGATCCCTGCAAGTGCGGATTTGACCCCTGATCCTTCGCATCGATAAGAGCGAGCGAGCTAATTACATTCGTTGAATTATTATTCTCTACGGAGTAAAGAAAGGGGGGATCGCTAGTGCTTACGGGCTGTCTAGATCTCGACCCGCCAAGCAGGATTTGTCTACCAACAAACCGAATAGGCTGTGAGTGGCTTCCCAAATTTGGGTTTTAGCTGGTATATAATACCATTGCAGACTCAATGACTTTGTCATGCTGCCTTGATTCCTTGCTCTTCAGGAGTGCAAGCTAAAGACGCACATTGAAGCCGCATGCGAGACCGGCGACATGGCAGAAAACGACAGCTTTGTGCAAGATGGCGAGGTCCATAGCAATACAAGCCAGCCGACGGTGGTTCTGGCAACTGCAATATTGGTGTTGCTTCCTTTAGCTATTGTTTTGAAAAGGTTTCTTTTTCCAACATTCGACCCTCGCGAGCCTCCGGTTCAGCGGCCAAAAGTGCCCTTTTTCGGGCACGTCATTTCTCTCATAAGAGAAGGGGCAAACTTCAATAACCGACTCTAGTAGGTTACACAATGAACCAGAGTAATTTAGATTGATCTTGACCGTCTTTTAGCAAGGAAAGACGCCTGCCAATTTGCACGTTGCCTATGCTGCACGGCAAGATGTACGTGGTGAACTCTCCGGGCCTGATCGCCGCAGCGATGCGCAATCACAATATCTCTTTCTATCCGTTCCAACTCGAGGGCTCGGCTACGATTTTTGATTTCCCGCAACATCACAGGGAGATGCTTGCGGACATCAAAATTTTGCAAGACGTCGGGAAGTTAATGGCCTCGACGCTTATGAAGGAGTCGCTGCAAGCAGTTAATAATGCGTCTCTGGGATACTGCGCTGAAGTTTTGAACGCTATCCGGCCTGGTCCCATGCCTAAGAGCGTTCCCGTATGGGATTGGGTGCAGGAGGTCATGGCCATGGCTGCTGTTAAGGCCTTGTTCGGGAAGAACAACATGTGGGAAAAGGAAAATTTTGAGGATTTGTGGTAAGTGTAACGCAGCTGTGGCATGCTCGCCCAAGTTGACTTGAAAGCAGGACTTTCGACGAAAGTTTGGCTGTCTTGGCCGCAAATGTAGCGCCTAATCTTCTGGCCCCCAAAGCCGTGACTGCTCGTCGCCGCATGACTGCGTTGATGCGGTCGTTCTACGCCGAACACTTGGATGAAAGCCCCGACGTTGCGAACATTGTCAAGGGACGCGCCAAGTACTTGAGAGGGGTGGGGATACCGTCCGATGAACTCTCCATTATTGAGTACGTGATACCCTGGGCGGCGACCACCAACACTATACCAATGACTTTCTGGTTATTGGTGAGCGTGTTCTCCAACTCAGAGTACATTGAACGTATAAGGAAAGAGGTCATGGCAATCACCGAGATTGTTGAGAGCAAAGAGGGGGATGGTCGTGATGCGACGATCCATACGAAAAATCTAGAAGCAGCTTGCCCCTTCTTGGTAGCTTGTTATCATGAGGTTCTCAGACTGTACGTCGCCCAGGTCTTCAACCGACGTGTAATGGAGGACTTGACTCTCGAGGATACAGATGGGCGGCAATACTTGCTCAAAAAGAACACCAACATGCAGTGGGCGACAAGTGTCACCCATCTCATGCCAGAAATCTGGGGGGATGATGTTGAGTCTTTCAGACCAGAGCGTTTCCTCGATGTCACGCCAGAAGATGAGAGGCGAAGGCGCGGAGTCATGCTTCCGTTCGGCGGAGGCCGACATCTATGCCCGGGACGATTCTTTGCCCAGACCGAGATCGTAGGTTTCGTTGGCGCGCTTGCTCTCGGTTTCGACTTGGAGGATGTTGAAGTGCCTCCCGCTGGAGTGCCGGCCTTGGCTGCGGCTGCGAGACATCCTGCTAAGGGAAGGGGAAATGAACAAATCCAGATTTCACGACGGAACGGCTGGGAGGATGTTAACTGGCAGTTTGTATGTTGATGTTGATCATCACTAAGTATGACTTTAAGTAGTTGGTTCATCAGACGATTTTCTTCAACGTTAAGAGATGTTAAAGCAACGGCCAATGACCGAAGCAGAGCGTATGTCCCGGCAGAACAATGGCTATTCACGATAAAATGTAGCTCCGAAGCCAACCGAGTCAAAGTGGTTGCAGCCATCAAGTGGCCCCCTGTCAATCACGGCGTCATGCGTTGAGCTGTCAGTCCATAGGCTACAGGCCTCGAAGAGAAATTCTTGGTGATTGGTAGAGAGAGAAACGCGGTGATGGCGAGTGACGAGTCGAATGCATGTAACGCCGCACATCAGACGCGATGCATCAGCCAAACAAGTGGCGGCTATCAGCCCGGAACGGTCGATCCTGTGAGATCAGTCGACCAACCATTTGATGATTGGAACAAGTAGATAGGCATTCGTTTGTGATGCGACGCAAGGATGGAAGACAAGGCGGGACAGATAGCGAAGCATGGATGAAGGAGTGATTGATTGCTTGCCCGACCAAGATGGAGGGAGGGGAGGGCAAAGATGCGGAGTGATTCCTCATGGTCTGTAGCGTTACCGACTCGATCCAGCGCCTTGGCGGGCCAGCGCAGCCGTGGGCCGCGATGCAGGTGTTGTAGTTCTTCTGCGGTTTGTCCGACCGTGGAGCAGAAGTGGACTCTAAGACTCGGGATCTTTCATGGGTTATGGCCAGGATGTATTATCGGTGAAGGATATTGCGCAAACCCGCGTCTGCTTGCTGTCTTCACCGCCCAAGATGGGCTGGGGTGGTGGTGTTGTCCCCTGCAAGTTTTGGTTTTTAGTTTTTTTCCCTTCCCTTTCTCTAGTTTATCGTTTCCACCCTCGTCAGATAATGATGCCTGACACATGCAATTGCTGTTTCTGCCAAAGGCAGCAGGAAGCGAAGGGGGCGGAGGGATGAGTAACACCCTGTGAGTGGTGATGGTGTGGTGGGCTCGTAGAAGTCATGGTTTGTTTTTGTCGGCTCGGTAGTATACGGGCGACGATATCCCGAGCGATGAATGAGATGAATGAGTTTTAAGAGTATCCATAAGTGCTCTTCAGTCACAGGAGTTACGGAGACTGTAGCAGTGGATTCAAGGCCGATTGTCGGCAAGAACAAAGTGGAGTTGGCCGAGGTGGTTTTCAGTCAATTCCTTGGAATATGAGGTAAGAATTGGCAGACAGCGAACACCTGACCGAAGAGCCTTTTTTTTTTATTGTTATCGTTAGAAGCCGTTCGCGGGAAACCGCGTAGGTACGTACATAGTACCTGGTGCGGGTCACAGACGTAGGTAGGAACGCGCCATCTTGGGGGAAAGAGAAGGGGTGCGTGTGTGGGGACCTTCTCAATGGAAGCCGTCGGGAACAGCTGTGACGACCGAGAACTTTTTTTTGCTGTGCTGGAAGCTGCTGCTGGTGTTCAGTCACCCCCGCAAGCAGTAGCTGCCACTTGCCATTGCACCACGGATGGCCCCGAGTTGGCAGAACGGACTAGTAGAGAGTAGCTTCTCTCGGGGTTCCTTCCGGCATTGGACCGAGGGTACTCCATTTTCTTTTCTTATTTTTTCTTCTTTTTTTTGTTCCTCTATGTGCGTGTTTCCTGGTTCCTGCCTACAAACACAGATGGAGCTGAAGAATAACTTCTGAACTGTAATTGTCGAATTGACGTATACTGTCCGTCACCATCCTCGCAACAGCCGAGGGGAAAGGGCAGGAAAAAAAAAAAAAAACATGCCAAAGTTTCCGCGCCGAATCGCACCTTCCTGGTGTGACCCCCGCTTCCCACTCAGCCCAGGGCCCAACGGTAATCCTTGGATTGGGGAAGCAGCAGGTCGGGTGGTTGGGACCTTAAACCCTGCGTGGAGGAGGGTGCCCCTGACACTCTGACGCAGAGGCGACGCCCAACATGAGGAGCAGGGCGTTGTGGAAGCAGGAAGCCCCCAAGGGCCCCAGAGCTTCGCCAAAAAAAGGGCCGCCAGCGCCAGGTCCAGGTTCAGGTCCAGCTCCCGATCCCGGTCCAGGAAGCGTCCCGCCAGGTCCTGCCAATGGGAAAGCAGATACTGCCAGTCCAGGCGGGGACCATCGCAGGGCCAACTCCATGCCGCCGTCTGCACCGTGCTGTCAACACGCGCTGGCGCACTTCTACGGTCTACCTTACAGAGCACTCTTCATGACAAGGACCCCAGGCACCAAAATACAAAAAATGGCGATCCGGTCATTTGGTTCACTCTTATTGGTTGTGGTTACCCGGGGACAAAGTCAGAGTGGAGTCCCAGAAGCGGAAAAGCTACCTTCCCTTCCCGAGTCGGGATACGTACCGCCTTCCTTCCTCAACCTGGTGTGCTAGACCTGGGGTTAACTTTTTCAGGCGGCAGGCGCTGGGGAGCAGTCGAAGGAAGGAACCTGCTGCTGCTGAGCAAGCTGAACAGGCTGAACCTTGGCCACTTCCAGTCATGAGCATCATTATCAGCTGTCAAAAGGATAGACACCAAAGCAATACAATATCGACCAAATCTTCTCCAGTGCAGTCGGGATCATCATCATCATCATCATCATCAGTTGGACCTTCTTCAGCAAAAAAATGTGACACAAAACATTTCATTCGTGCAGATGCACGTCCGCCACGAGGAAACCCTCAAGAAAGGCGTCCAGAAGTTAAGCATTTTCGGCTTGACTACTCTACTCTACTACCACCACCACTACTTCATGTACTAAATGCCGAATCAGGAACCGGCAGCTACTCGGACGACAAAGCAAGAAGAAAAAAAAAATACTACTCTATTTTCATGTTCCTCGAGGGGCATTGCTTGCGTCGGAGCTGCAGTCGGCAGCACCATAACACGACACGTACCCTACAGGGCCGCTTTATGGTCGTACCAAAACCGTCTCAACACCACGCCAGTAAACTTCAAGTCACCAGCATCGTCATCAATGTCTCTGTAGCTATCCGACACCTCGCTTTGCATCCACCGCATCGCGTCTTTGCGACATGACACGCCCGCCTACCAGCACCAGATAATCCCTAGCTGCAGCCCAATGTATTTGTACAGGCGGACAGCTGCTCCGGTTAGAGACATGGGCACAGGCACAGACACACAACAAGACACGCCACCTTATTACCCCAACTCGTGCCTCCATTCCCTTTCCGTGTCAAAATCGGAGGCACTTACTGGTGTTGCTCCGCATTACCACAAGAACCTTGGCTACCGAACACCACCACCATCCACCAAGTACGTATATCAAGCCGTCTGAGACAGCCAGCCAGAAACAAGCAGCAACAGCCCTTCCCGCACGACTCGCCTGAACTTGCCTGTACCTACTACTACGTACTTTGATGGGCTTAATAGCAGACATCCTGGATTGATTTGCCTCGGGCCACACTTACTTTGTGTCTGCCTGCCATCTGTCTGTCATCCCGCTGGCTGCCATCCCCAAACTTCATCACCGCTAGTTTCGCACATTTGCCTACTCCTGCAGCTTCTGCATCCCCATCAACATTCTGCATCTATCTTTTTCCCTCTTCTCGCCTTGCTGATCCCAGCCCGGGCGAGTCGGGCCTCCTGCACTAACACCACTACTTAGGGATATTCTTGTCATCATTGTTATCGTCGTCGTGATGCCGTATGATTGAATGCTATTGCCGACATATACAGATATATACATGCACACCGACCCAGACAAACCCGCAGCAAGTAACGTTTGATTATGTCCTGACCTGCTCTTCCCCGCCAAGATCCCTCATAATCAGATGCTTTACGGCAGCACTATTGCCAACGGACGCGCACTAAGAGTTTACGGTCCGCCTTTTCCTGCATAAGCTTAGGGACCCCTCGATCGTCTTGCACGCATCTTTGTCCCCTGCGTTTTGTTCTCCCCTCACCTTTTCCCTGCTGGTAGTTGCTTCTCCCTACACCATACAGAGTCACAAAGGTGCTTCTGTCTCCAAGCTCTGCGTTCGTCGCGAGGCGCACCATCTTTGTAGCTCACCCTGCAGCTCCGACTCGGGGATCAAAAATAAGAAACGAAGAGGAGTCAAGCCACGAGATCCGAACCCTTTTTATTTCCCCTTCCTTTCTAGGTGATCTAGAGTCTTGGTTCCGATCCGTTTGTTTTGTTTACATTGCTGTCTGTTTATCTTTCACTTTGCCATCATTCTATTTTTGTCTAGATAGGATCTTGGTCCAAAATTGTAGAGTAAAGCAGTGAATCCTTCTACTCATGCCAAAGTCAATATCCGGCAGTAAGGACAAATCGAACAACCCAAGAAAAGCTGACCGACAAAGAGCCAGATGAAAAAATAAAATAATAAAAACAACCCACCCCGGGCGCGGCGCATCGACATCATCGTTTCCCATCAACGGGGGCCACCTGTCTCACTAGCGCGAACGAACCTCCCCCGGCATCCCTGTCGCGTTCCGGCTGATTTACGCCCATTTGCCAGCAGCGGTCCCAAGGTCACGCAGCCACCAAGTCACCAAGACACCACACCCAGACAGGGACCCTGACCACCCCCCCCGGACAAGTGAGAAGCACGACAAGAGGGCCAAGGGGGGGGAGGAGGAAAAAAAACGAAAAGTGAGGTATGAGCACAAGCGCAAGCTTGCTCAATGCCAGTAACCAGCCCAGCCCAGCTCCACCACAACAGGATCCGACCAGGGGAATCCAAAATAATTCTGCCGTCCGTGTAACAACAGTGTGTCGCGATCCTCTTTCGACCTTTCTCGACCCTTTCCACATTCTCTCTCTACCTTACCGCACCCTCTCTCTCACCAAAAACCTCATCCAACCCTATCCCCTCGTTCGCGACCATCGACTATTTTCCATTGTCGTCCACGACCCCTTCTGAAAGGTCTGGATCGTCTCGACTTTGTGAACGCCTCTCCACCGCGCTTTCTCCCCCCCCCTCTCCCACCCCCGGTTCGCCGTCATCCCGACGCATCTCTACCTATGTGCAATCCACTCTGTGGGCTTTTGAGCTAAAAACTCGGCGCAATGGATCCAAGACAGCCGCCACAGCACCCTTTCTCGCGCAATACTGCGTCGCAATACAGTCGCTCTCCTTTCCCTCCAAACCCGAATCCGACAACATCATCATCAACACCGAATCAATCTCCTTTCCCTCCTGTATCGTCACATCCCGCCTCATCGAATCCTGCCTATGCCGACCATCAGCGAAGATCTTCCGAAAACCCCTACTACGGTTCAGGCCCGAGGTCATATCCCCAAGAGTCGAGCTCCGGTCCTCCACCTCCTTCGTCGGGTCATTCTCGACACCCGAGTTCATCATCGTTGCCTCCCGGTCCGCCTATGAATAGAAATATGCCACCCCCAGCTTCTCCTCCCCAGCCGGGTAACCCACAGCCGCCGTCGCATCAGATGGGTCACTATGGCCTGCCAGCTCCAAGAGGTCCGCCACTTCCTGTTGGCCATCCGACTTCGTTTCCAGGCGGTCGTGAGCTGCCCTCGTTAGGATCAATATCGAGAACTGGTAGCACCGGCAGCTCCATGTCAATTTCATCCATGCTCGGGGGCCCGCCTCCCGCGCCGAGGGACTCTCAGCCTCCGCCATCGCATTACCATCCCCCAGCGACCTCTGCAAGCTCTGGCCCGACTTTTGCACCATCAATACAGGCGTCTCCGAGGATGCATTCGGCTTCTTCCGATTATCAACCCTTCAGAAGACCTCAAACTCCCGAGCACGGTCGCCCTTACGACCCTAGAGGCAGCGCCGCCGCATCGCCGCAGGGTGCATACTCAACGACACCCGAGATGCAGCGATATGGCACGCCGCAGCAGTCCTATCACCAGCGTGGGCCTTCCGCACAGGATGGTAGAGATACGAGCCGAATGCCCCCCGGTCCTCCCCCGAGACCCACGAGCCAGCCGAAGTCTTTCACGAGCATGCCCTCGAGACCCGTTGATATGGGCAGAAATAACGGCCCCGAAGAGATGTATCCGCGTCGCGAAGAGATGCCAAGAGGGTCGATGGAATACAACCCGGAAAGGCCAGGTCTGAAGCCAATGACCTTTGATGACAGATACCGCGCGGAGCGCGAACGTCGGGAGGAGCTTGAGTTTAGAGAAAGAGAAAGGAGAGAACGTGCATATTCTGGCGGCGAGGGAGGACGAGGACCCCCACCTCATCAAGGCGAGTACCGACCGCAAGAGGTGCCTCGGGGTCAACCTCCTCCGCCATTTAGTCGGCCCCCTGAGCATCGAGAGCAAGGGCCGTGGCCGCCTCGGCAGCCCCAGCCTTTCGAACAATCTCGTGTACCTTATGATCCCGCTGGTCTGCATCCGCGACACCACGAGTATCCTCCGACATCAGCCCCTGGCTACCCAAACCAAAGCCATCCTGCGCCTGCTCCTCAGTACCAACAACCACCCCCAGCAGACCGATATCCTCCTCAGAACCACCCTCAACAACCACCTACGGGCCAGCCGACACAACCTCAACCACAGCAACAGCAGCAGCAACAGCAACAACAACAACAACAACAGCCCTTCGACTCCCCAGAGAGGCAACGTGCCAATCATCTCCATCCGCAGGGACAGCCAGCCCCGGCGCACCGTCGGCCTGTGGAGGAAGGGCCACCGCCACAATCAGTCGCCTACAACGCGGCGCATGGTACCCCGATTTACGACTCGTCCCGTAACCGAACAGCCGAAGAGCATCCTCATAACGGTCAAAGGCATTTGTTGGCGGTGCAAGAGATCAACCGAAAGGGCCGGGTTTCTCCGTTACCTCAGGCAGTGCAAGGGGCACAACCTCAGCTGCCAGGCCCTGCAGGAGAGCCTGGCATCAAGAGCGAATTTGGCCGCATGTTTTCGGGGATTGGCAGCGGAGTAAGTGGCATCAGCGCGCCCAGTCCAGTCACTGCGGGGGCCCAGCTACCGTACACCAACGCGAGCCTTGCTCGACGAGACGAGACAGACAGTGCCGCGCATGATTCTGGACCCGATGCGGCGCCCAAGCCGCCACGCGAGGGAGCGAAGGGCCGACGGAGAAAGCTCAAGGAAGAAGATGGAAAGGGTGACGATGAGAGCACAGGGCGCCTTACGCCTGTCGGTCGCGCCAAGCGTCCCAAGACTCATCAGCATCATCATCATCAGTATGCATCATCCCCGTTGCATCGGTCTGTGATGACTAACAGCGACAGCCACCATCACCACCACCACCATCACGGTGTCGAACACACGAATGTCCCTGCACCCATCGGTGTCACGCCTTTCAAGAACGTCAAGGGAACCACGCCTGTTCCGTCTCCCACTGGACCAGCCAAGGACCTACCAGCCGCACACCATCACCACGTCCCTCGACCAACCAACCAGCACACCCACCACGTGAAAGAAGCACCTGCGAAGCAGACCGTGCAAAGCCCTACCAGCGTCATTCCTCCCAAGCCCAAGACGGTTGTGAGCTCGAAAGCTGTCCTCGAATCGGTCGCGCACCTCCCTCGGACTCACTTAGGCGATGTCCTGTACGAACCGAAGCTGACACCCGCGAGACAATTGCCAAATGTTCCCTCAGGCCGCGGCTTTGCGTCAACGCCAACGCCACTCCCTTGGGGCATGATCAAGGACAAGGAGAACTGTACGCTCACAGTGAAGGTTCCCAAGGTGCACTTGACCCCTTCAGCGAGGGAAGAGATAACTGCGCGACGGGCACTTTGGGGTACAGATATCTACACGGACGACTCTGATGTGATTGCTGCCTGCATACACGGAGGATGGATAAGAGGAGAATGGGGCGACGATGTCGACACTGATATGTTGGACCTTGACCGTGGCTTGGCCGCTCCCGAGAAAGACATTCCCACGAATAAGAGACGGAAAGAGAAGGAGAAGGAGGAGAAAGCCAGACTGGAAGCAAACATGGCTACGTTCCTGGATAAGCCCCCTAAGACGGGACCCGTCAGCGTGCCTCCTGATCGCGACATGCACGTTAGTCTCCTGATACTTCCACGGTTAGAGAAGTACGGCAGCACGACGCGATTCGGTATCCGGTCGCGCGAATTCGGCGGCCGCTACAACGGACGGACATCAGTCCACGATGGCATCAGTTTCCTGATTACTGGCATTCGTTGGGTCACCAACGGCGCCGGAACGCAGAGCCGACTCCGTGGCAAGGGCCGCAGAGAGCGGATGCGCAAAGCCATGGGAGAGATGAACGCAGCCAGCAGAGGCCTTAACGGCGCCGAGCTCGAGCGCGAGAAACAACGTCTTGACAAGATTAGGGGCGAGATTGTTTCGGGCAACTGGTGGAAGCGGGACGAGGCGCGCGAGAATGGCGCGGACAAGGACGAGAGATCGCCGAGTGAAGGCGACAAGGAGAACAGGCCAGCGGACGAGCGCCAAACGACCAACGGCGCAACTAACGGGATCGTCACTAACGGTGTCACGGCGGATAAGGGCGATAAGATGGATGTGGACGAGAAGACGAAGAAGGCGGATGCTGTGGCGTCGTAACGTAATCGAGGCTGATTCTCGGAGACGACGACGACTGACGTGGAAGGGTTGGGTTGTTGCAGTGGATGAAGACAGCGGATGAATAAAGGTTTACGTTGTAGTTTGTAGGAGTAGCGATGGTTATAATACCCAATTCCTTGGAAGTTTCATGGTTGGGGAATTTTTCTAATAGTGTCATCGTACTGTGACTTTGTGACTTGTATCCATTATAGTTGTACACGACGATATCATACACCTCCACGTCACGATCTCTACTCTCGGAAACCAAACCAATTAATTACATTTGTCATTCCATACCCCCAGCCCGGCGGAGATTGAAAATGCCTCCCCCTCCTCTCCTTAGAAATCCGTCACACGACCGTTGTAGCTCCAATCGCCACCGGATCCCCAGCGCAAAGGCTCCCTCTTGGGACCGCCGACCTCGCCGGTGCGCGGGTTCACGTCACCCTCGAACTCGGGCGGCGCGCCGCGCACGTACGCCGGGTGCATCGTATCCTCCTCCGACGAGGTGATTGTAGGGTTCGCGGGCTTCTGCGCTTCCGTCGTGGCGGTGGCAGCTGCTGTGGCGTCTTCTGTGGGAGAGGTCGTGTGTCGCGGCGTGGCGGTGGCGGGGGTGGTGGTGGACGTGGACGGCTCTGCGTATTCCTGGAAGGCGCTGGATACCGAGGCGGCGCGCTGCAGGCGTTCGAATTCGGCTTGTTGGTCGGCGGGCAGGCGAGGGGGAGCCGGGCCACGGGAGAAGGAAGAGGAGAGGCGGGTTGTTGGTGGTGTGAGGGTGATTGTTCGGAGGGGACGGAGGCGAAGGAGGCGAGACATTTTTGTACTTCTTTTTTTTGGTCGTGTCTTTGTTTTTGGAGAGTGTTTTCTTTTCTTTTATGTGTTGTGTGTTTTCTGAAAAGATTGGATTGAACAAGTGGTTTGGTGTGGGATTTGTTTGGGATGTAGTTTGGGGTGTGGCGGTGGAAAGGTGTGTGTAGAGGTGAAGGGATCGGGAAGAATTGGACCTCTCTCCTTTTCTTTTTGGATGGAAAATGTCATTGACCCGCGGCCTTCGGCGATTGCGAGTTGGAGCCGATGCTGGTTGCTGACGAGCTGTGTGGTGGAGGGTCCGGTGGCGGAGGGCGGATGGGGCCGAGGTTCGCTGCGCACGGACCGTTGTTCGGGGGTCTGTTATGGACCAGCGATACTGGAGCTAGTTAGGTGGTTTACGGGGAGTTGGGCGGTGTTTTCTTTGTTTTTTTTTTTTTTTTGGTGCAGGATCTGTTCTTCAAAGGCATGTTCTATCAATTTGCAAGTTTCTAACCTTGTCTTCTAACCGGTTGTTGGAATCAGTTGGCTATTGGTGCACACCTATTCTCCAATCTGAGGGCTGAGCATGATCAAATGATTTACTGGATCAAGTCACTTCTAACATGAGCATATTGAATTGTATGATACGGCGAGGCCATATCATGGCTCAGAGAGAGCGTGTCAAGTCAGTAGTCGCATGGACTTTCCCCTCGCACCATGTTACGCTGGCATAAGATGATGTTGTCTATCTCCAAGGATACATCTGTCAAGACGACAACGTCTTGCTAGACCAAAGCCTTACCGTTACGCATGTGTTGCTGCCTTCACAGGATAAGCCCAAATCCACGTGGCTTGCAGCGAAGTTATCGACCCGGGCCAGAGCCGCGTGGGTAGTGTGGAGTGCATATGCATACTAGCAGCTACGACGTGGAGCAATAGATAGCCTTGGATAGACCGCGGCGCGGTCGCAAGATTCCTTGATATGCAGGAGGCCGGAAGCTATCGCAATGGGCTTCGTGTCATTGCTTGAGGTGATCGACAATGAGGCAGACCAAGGCTTCTATGGAGACGATAAGTATGTTGACATGCATGGCTGCCATAGAGAAAGGTACCGCGGAAAAGAGAAGCCTTGGGCCATAACCTGTAGCGTCAACTTGAGTACCTAGTCATTGGAAGATGGCTAAAATTACATGTATTGCAAATTTGCAAACAACCAAAACCATTTAACTCTCTGCTCGAGCCGAAGTTTCACGTATTGGAGCCATTGTAGGAGGATGAATTGCCTTTGCTTTCAGTGTTGGTGCCCATCGATCAGGTACAACAAATATATCTCGATCCCGCTTACTCTTGGGCTCTGCCTGATCATGTCATCCATTTACAGCCTGCAGGTCGCTATGTCAAAGTCATCCACACGCACATGTTCGTCTGTCGTTCGCCTCGACAACGACAAGAAGGCGACCATACACATTCCAGTTCCCCAAACGTGAGATGCAGCGCTCATGAAGGCGCCCCGCACAGCCTTGAACCGGGAGGACGTGGGTTCCTCCCCGCCTATGGTTTGTGTTGGGCAAACCAACAGCATCGGGCGTCAGGCCGTTTTGGGTTTATTGGCTCGCCATGCAGCTGCATGACACTTGCGTGATTCTGGCACACCATCACCGAGCTAACCGACCGAACTCTCACAGCAAAGAAGCAGAACCTCGAAATTGTATTTTAACGATGCTAATGTCGCCGTGGTTTCTGGGATATCCTTGTTGTATCAGCACATATTCACAAATACGTTGGCAGCCGTGCCTTGCAGTACACAGTGACCCTCAAGATGGCGACGACGGTGGCATCAACATTTGAAGTGGAAAGCTTCGTCAGTTTAATCACCTCATTTTCAGCCGATCCTTCTTATACACAACTTCGTGCCCTTGTTAGCGAGAATGCGCATTTAAAAAACCGTAATGCCAACCTTACCACGGCATCTGAAGAGAATGTCAGAACATTCGCGCAACTACAGCAACGAATAGATGAAGGAGCTGCTCGAACTGAGGAGAAGACATCCGAGCTTCAAAATGCATTAAAACAAGCGGCTGACTTGGCAAAGATGCTTGATGAAGTTGGCAATGAAATGAATGATTTAAAGTCCAAAGTCAAAGATGCCGACGAACATGCAGCCAAGGTCATGGATGACTTCAAGAAAAAAGAAGCAGAGCTTGGCATAGCCACGGCCAGTCTCTCGAAAGAGAAATTAGCTGTCGCAGACTTGGAATCCGCCCAGAAAAAATCCTCAGACGAACTGGAGAAAATGCGGAAAGAATTGGGTCAAGCAAATACGCGTTTGTCCCAAGTCGACGGTTTCACAGTCGATATGATACCGTCCTCGGATGAAGTGTATGTCATAACTCAAATCCTTTTTTTTTTTTTTTTTTTTTTTTGGCTATGATACTAACATATAACTAGCGATAGCGAGGAATGGCTTGGCAACATATTTGAATCTTCGTATTCTTTGGTACAAACATATTTCGGGGCAGATCTTGAGGCCAAAATTCTGTCTGACAAGTCCTGCTGGGAGGCGATTCGCAACCATCCATCTATTCTGCGACTAATACCCCTCCCAGCTTCGAACACTACAACTGCAAAGTACATGCGCATCGCCGCATCCTTGGCCATTCTTGCCAGAATATTGGCAGACTATATCTTCCGGCCGACATACTTGCTATATGAAAACGAACTTTCGAACATACTGAGTGAATTAGTCAAATTGGATCAAGAAAAAGAACGGCATTTCCGCTTACTTCTTCTGGGGACACGTCCCGATAAGCAACGGATTAACGTCGACAAAAGAGTTCGAGACGTTGCCGTGGAAATGATGAAGCATACTGGGTCTCTGCTAGCATCCGATCAAAAGCACAACTTCATATCAGATTTGGAGGACTTGTGTCAGGAGATCTGCAGCCGGTGGACGGATATCCAGAAACTGGAAGAGAGAATCGAACCGGATTTCACTTTCGGTTTTGCTGACGAGTTAGACGACTGGAATATCCTGCAGTTTCCCACCGAAGAGGAACTCAAACCTGCCCCAGCACAGAATGGGGTCTTGCCAGTCCAGAATGGAGAGTCGGCTCAGCCGCAAGGAGAGCATCACAGCCCAGCAATGAAGAAGGACACGGCGGTCTTGTGGCCTGCTTTTCTCGCATTTGCCGAGGGAAGCCACGAGCTTTTTAGGGAGGGCTTGGTGCTCGATGAAGCACTGGCAGATGCGGCTCGATCCGAAGAGGCCTCGCACACTACACATGGACCCCGCCGTGTGGCGAGATTGCAAACACGAAGGAACTCGATTATGAGGAATGGGTCTGAAGTAGGGCGCGCGAGAGCTTTTTTATCCACAGGAGCTGGAAGTCCTTCAGAAGGCGACTAAGGCTATAATATATGTCGCAAGGCTGAGAGAGGGAGGTACATAATTTCCTGTGGTTCGTGGGGTGTAAGATCATACACGATGTCATCTATATTTGTATTTTATTCAAGTCGAGCTGGGGGATTTCCGCTTCCGTCTAGGGGTGTGCTAACTGTTACTTTTACTACCAGATTGTCATTCGTCAACTATCAATAGTCTCTATCTATTAAACCTTAATCAACGTGCTGCTTTTCTCTGTTATGAAAGAAGTAGTCAATGTTCTACCGCCTTGGCAGTATCCCCTTAACTGTTCACAAGAAAGACCTTGTGACCGTGGATTTGATATCTCGAGAACTGAAACCGACACGGAACTCAATCTTCCCCGAAGGAATTGCCCAGTCCTGAGCAGTTGTGTTCCAAAAGCTTATATCCCGACGCATGATGGGGAATTCTGCCGATTTCGACTCCCCCGAGGCAAGATCAACCTTGACAAATCCACGTAGAACCTGCACAGGGGTGTTGTCAGGGGTGCTCTCCTTGGGAAGAGACACATAAAGCTGCACTACCTGTGAGCCGGAAACCTCTCCTGTGTTTTTAACAGTTGCGGCAACGGAGGCAACCTCCTCCCAGAGGGCCGGATTGCCCCCTGGGTAACTGCCATTTGCCGGAGCCGGAAACATGGGCAATTCTTTGTTCGTAACACTCAACTTAGCATCGCCGTCTAGTTCGAAAGTCGTGTAACTGAGACCATAGCCGAAGTCATAAAGCGGCGTAATATTTCTGGCATCGAAATGACGATAGTCGATGAAGAGGCCCTCGGTAAAGTCAGCCTGCCAGGCGTTGGGGTCTTGTGCGGCCGCTCCGGTGATGTTGACGATGGGGAAATCATAGTCCGCAGCCTGCTTCGGGATTGTATAAGGAAGACGACCAGATGGGTTAACATCTCCATACAAGACATCCATTATCGAGTTACCGTTTTCCTGGCCAGGGTAATGCGCGGCCAAGATAGCTGTCACGTTCGGGTTTTCTGCCCAAGGCATGGTGTTGATGCCGCCGGAATGGGTGACCACCACAGTGTTGGGGCACTGGCGGGCCACATTTCCCACCACAACAGTCGAGTTCCAGTCATTCTCAAACGACAGGCGGTCCGTACCTTCGCGAGCCCAGGTCTTGAGAAACACCAGGCAAACTTCGGGTGGGGGGTAAATGGAGGTGAAGTCTCCTTCGACAATTTTTGCATTGTCCAGGAGGTATTGGACACGACCGCCTCTGTCTTCAACGCGGTTTCGAATGGCAGCGAGAGGAGAGACAAGTCGTGTGTGTCTTCCTGCACCGGAGCCTCCACCGACACTGAGAGCACCAATGTTTGCGCCCCAAGGACCACTGTCGTCTCCTGTGAAGGTGAGGCCTTCGGTAACATCTGCAGCACCGTTTCCGAAAATACCAACCATTTTGGGATCCTTAAGAGGCAGGACATTATTTGTGTTCTTTTGTTCTTTAAGAGAACCGTGCCAGCCGCCGCGACCTTCCGTACAACTTCGGAGTGGTTCCCTCGAACGTCACGAGCTGGTGGAGGATTGCTTGGGTCGTATCCCGAAAGAGAAAGATACTCGTCTGGGTAATTGTATGTTTTAGCGAATACAAACCCGGTCGATGGATCAATTGATGGAAAGTCCTCGTCCTGGTGGAGGAAGAAGTACGGCGCGAGGACGCGGCGGGCCATGTCGTCGACTTTGTTTTCGTCAATGGTTCCATTCCGGACAGCTTCAGTCAGGTTGCTACCTAGGTATGACGGTGGAGGCATGAGAGCTGTAGATAGGCTATCGATGGGCCCAGGCATTGTCATGTCCAAACCGGCATTGACGGAGTTGACTCCGGAATGAGTTGCGTACCAGTCGCTGACGACGTACCCTTGAAACCCAAGCTCTCCCTTGAGTAAACCATTCAAAAGCTTCGAGTTCTCGCAGGAGTATGTTTGGTTGACGCGGTTGTAGCTGCACATGACGGAAGCGACGCCGGAACGGACAGCGTTGGCGAACGGCCAAAGATACAGCTCATGCATTGCACGATCATCGATGTTTGCAGACACCGCTTGGATTTCGGTACCGTCCGCCGTAAAGCTGTTAGACCGCTGAGTCTCTTGCTCGTTGCCGATGAAGTGTTTCGCATTAGCCTGAACACCCATACTTTGAATTCCCTGAATGGAGTAATCCATGGCAACCCCACTGAGGTAGGGATCGGGAGAGAAGCTTTCCCAGTTGCGGCCACCAAGAGGATGACGGCCCAATGCACCCGTTGCAGGTCTGTTGCAGCAATGGTTAGTTGGAGACCCTCTTCACTAACTAGGTAATCAAGCTGTTTGAGTTGCGTACCCGAGATGAACCTGTGCGCCTTTGCCGCGGAACTCTGCGCCCAGGGCACGCCCTCGTTCATAAATCAACTGTCTATCCCAAGTTGCTGCAGTTGTAAGGCCTCCTGGGAACACCGTAGCAAGATCTGCAATTCGGACTATGACATGGCGACATCAGCTCTGTGTGTTATGTATGGCATTTGAGACTGTAAACTGACCAGAAGTTGGGCCATCGGCGAGACAAAATCCGCTAAAATTGACCTCTGGTATCGGCGCGATATTTCCGTTGCACGAAAGACCATACGTAGAGCCGGTCGTTAAGCCAACTTTCTGTGTGAGGTTGAGTCGCGAGACGACCTCTTGGGCTTTCTTGAAAGCCGCTTCCCATCCATTTCCAGAGCTCTCAGCTGAGGTAATCATTAGTAAATGGATAAAACCACACATGAACTCTAGACGTACGAGTTGGATATGTCGGGATTGTGTCGAAGTGGCCGGAACGGTTTGCATATGGAGAGGCCAGAACCGCCCCGGCTAGAGTTGCAACGTTCACGAACAGAAGCATGTCGTTTACTGCAACACGGAAATAAGGTGTTCAAAAGATGTAAAACCAGGGGTCCAACAATTGTTAACATGGTAAATTTCTTGTCTGGTATTCCATCCTTCTTAACCACCTTTTAAGTATGAATGCCATGAAGCTTGGAAGCCGTGAGTCCATATTGTCAATGGCAGACTATCTCCGAGAGCGGGCCATTCTGCCTTGCCTATTACGCATCACCTACTATACCTTGCCACTCGATTATGGCCTCAAGAACGATTACCAGTAGTAAAATATCTAGGTCAGTGGGTTTTCCGAGATGGAGAGAAAAAGCAGCCTTGCCACAAATTGCCTCGTGAGCCACTAATTCCTGGAAGGATACCTAATTCTCATAAGGGAGCTGCGCAAAATACTCCTTGCCAAAGAAATGTGGTTCTATGTAAGTGGTGTAGGGAGTAGTGACTATCCACACGGGGCTAAACGAGGATTTAAACGAGCACCGGTATTAAACGAAGCGGTAGCGAAAAACGAGCCCAGAGGGAACGAAGCTCGGCGGGGCCGGGCGGCGAAATCACGCCGAGCCAACATAGCCACGCCGAACTGCGCCGGGCGTCTACAGCAGCACATCAACGCATCGGCTGTCCTAACCTAACCTATCAGTTAGAAATTTCGTGGAACGCGTTTCAGGGGGCTTTGCGATGTAAATTTGGCATAGCTAGTAATCTATGCTTTAGTGTTAGGACAGTAAGGCGATGTTAGTCTGGAAACCGAACCGTTTAAAAAGTCCAACGGTTTTCGCGGTTTTCAGTGCAGTTAATCTCAGGTTATGCCACTCATGAAAATTAAGCTCATTTCTTGAATTCACCTTTTTTTTTCATCAGTTTATTACCAGCGTTTCCTTGTTATCAAGCATTCGTCTCTCAAAATCAAACTTGTGGCCTGCTCAGTGCTAACATGGTTTTGCAATTGTTTACTACACTTCCTACGGCTTTTCATCATCTCAATCGTCTCTCCTTAAACTCGGACTCCCTTACTATGGATCTGCATCGCAGGAATGCTACAGAAGCTGACGCCGCCGGTGCAAATCCGTTCAAGCTCTACCACTATGACCCAACTATTGCCGGCGCCGTCATTTTTGTGCTTCTGTTTCTTGCTACAACCATCCTTCATTTCTGGCAGTTGGTGAAGTCCAAGTGTTGGTTTCTTCTTCCATTGGCAATTGGAGGTATATGTAAGTCATATGGCACTGGCAAACTAACATCAAGCGAGTGCCTGCAAGTAAAATTCTGTTTGCGAGCTGTGCTGATAAACTTTGTTAGTGGAAGTAATTGGCTACGCAGCTCGCGCCAAGTCAGGCGGCGAGAGCCCTGACTGGACTTTGGGTCCTTACATTATACAGGCAATTTTGCTGCTTGTGGCACCAGCCCTTTACGCAGCTACTATCTACATGGAGCTTGGTAGGATCATCACTGTAATCGACGGCGAGGGGCACGTCATCATTCGGAAAGAATGGATGACAAAGCTGTTCGTCACGGGGGACGTCTTGTCATTCTTTCTTCAAGGCGGAGGTAAGCAATTCAGAGTTCAAAATAGGAACTACAACCTTAAAGATGCCTGTATTATAGCGCATGCCTCTCTGACTGATTACTGATACGTTTCTTAGGTGGTGGCTATCAGGCAGCCGGCAGCCTTGAGGCCCTAAACACCGGCGCCAAAATCATCATCGTCGGCCTTTTCGTCCAGCTTATCTGTTTTGGATTCTTTGTCGTCACGGCTGTTTCATTTCACCGCTCCATCAACAAAGCTCCAACAGGTCGATCAAACAGTAGCATTCCCTGGCGAAGACACATGAATGCTTTATACCTTGGAAGCTTTCTAATCATGGTTCGTTCATTGTTTCGAGCAGTTGAGTACCTACAGGGCTTTGATGGTTACCTACTGCGTCATGAGGCGTATCTTTATATCTTTGATGCTGTTTTCATGCTTCTCACTATGATCTTGTTTAACTACATTCATCCTGCTGAGATAGCTGCAATTCTGGCTGGTGGAGGTGGCAACGAAGGATGGAAAATGGGAGCCTTACCTCACCATCACCTCCAACGCTTGTAATGGATGGCTCATTTTCTAAGAAAATCCCTAAAAGATAAACAGTATTTACATGATAGTATGTGAATAGAGTATTTTGGGCTAAATCGCCGCGCTGTGTGTCATTGAGAAAGGTCGTGGGTTATATTTATCTTTCCTGGTAACTTCATGAATGCCAAAAAGATAAACCGACAATTCTTCAGTGCTGTGACGATAGTGTCAACGCTCACCGAACACACCGAGCTGGGTGTGTTTTACGTAAGCTATATGAAACGCACACCGTAGGCATATAAGTACGCGCTTCCACACGCACATACCCTCTTTCTAAATCAAGTCACTCTTTTACACCTTTTCTAGCCTGATTGCCATGTGCCTAGTTCGCCACAAGTGCCAAATGACATATTTTGCTTTGAAACAAGTCCAAAATGACCAGCTTCGACTCGAATATCTCCTTATTCTATACCCACAATATGCAGCGGCCAGGAGATCCAAGATCTCCAAAAACTCCCCAGTAATTCATCCACTACTTCTACGATATCCTTGCCCCATCCCTCGAGAAACCAAATTTCATTTAGAGTATGCAAAAGTGCACCAAAGAAAGAAAAAAGTACCAGTGCAGGGGGTTGCCGTTGATGGAGCAGTGTAAAATACTGCTGGGGTGCAAAATGTATAAATGCCATGGGTGCAGCCCATGCCCGATTACATCCCCATTGCTCAAGTGCCTGGCCATCAATTGTCTCAAACTGCGACATGTACATGTAGCACTTCCTCAAATATCGAAGAGTTTGTTCATAAACTTCACCGTCGCTGCTGTTCTTCCACGAGTCTCGTGTTCGGCAGAGCTCCTTGTCCACTGGCGTAGAGGCGATCTTATCAGGTTCTAGTTCGTCCCAGTTTCCGAGGGTCACTATAGAACTCATCCGTCCGCTCCGTATAAAGTCGTAATGCGGGGCAAGGACGGCATCAACACCACGTATCATTGGAATCCACTCGACACCTAATAATCGGTCTTTTCGAAGACGTGGCGTGTCTCGTTCAGCGTTGCTAGAAAGCTCTCTTGAGATACTGAAAACATATAATACGTTGAGAAGTGACCAAGCGAGCACGGCCTCGCTCTTCTCACTCGTGAAGTTCTGTATAATCTCATGGAACCCAGCCAGAGCTTTCTCGTGATGCTGCGTTGCCTCTGTAACATATGAGCTGTTGCTGTAACCACTGATGTAAGCCATGTGCAGAGCCGCCAGGCTTATAATGGCGTGCGCCACAAACGGATGCTGAAAGCCGATATGTGGAATGGTCACCTGCCATAGCACATCGACGTCAGGTGTTTTGTAGATGTCAACGCTGGTTGACATAGTCCAGTGGTGCAGTAATGCAAGATCCCTAATGCCGAATTCTGCGGGAAACTGGGCCGATGTTTGCGATGCACCTGAGACCGTTCCTGGAGTTGATACTGGAGTATACAAAGGAATTACGCGGGTTTGTTCTCGACTGAGTCGTGGCATAGGTAAAGAAAAGGATGGTGAGACTTCATGCAGGACTTCGGGCGCTTGTGACACGTCTTTGTCAACGGCCTGTGCTTCCTCGGGATATTCACACACAACTTCCCGCCGGATACAAGAGCGACAGCTCGGCCGCTCTTCGCTGCACTATGGCGCCGTGTCAGTTACGGCTGCCCGAGATCAAGGTTCCAGGAGGGGTGCCGTACCTTAACTCGGCGTTTGCGGCAATCGAGGCATCCTGTGCGCGACTTTCTGTGTGGCCTTCGTCTCTTAGACGGAGGTCGCTCTGGCCGCTCCTCCGGTGGCGATGTGGAACGAATAGGACTCATCAACGGCTCCCCGTCTTTCTATGATGGAGCGAGTACACAATGGAAGCCAGATGTTTTGAGAGTAATGTGAAAAACGAGAAACGAGGTGAAGAAGAAGAAACTTTCAGGAGGAACGAGAAATGAACGAGTACGTGTCTTTCGTACGTCAGTCTTCTGCGCCACCGAAGCTAACGATCAGCCCTGAAAACAACCCGAGTCTCCTCTTACTGTGGGGCCGAGTACGAGTCCGTGCCGCCCGAGTTTGCAGAATGCCCATGGAATACAGAATGAATCCCTTGCTTCATATTCCCAAAAGTTGTTGCACAATTGTATTACATTTTGCCATTATTTCAACGACCAGCTCGAGGCCATTTCATAACATCTCCCAGTGGTTGCTAAACATGTTCCATGGTTTGTGGTTGCCTGTACAGACAACCTAAGCGTAGCAAACGAGATACGAGACAAAGGATGTCTCACGCAGAAATACTTAAACGAAGAACGAGGCCAGCCGAGTCAGGTCTCCACAAGACAGCAACCTTTTTTTGGGTTTTACAACGTAGTACATATTATCATCGCCAATCTCCCCACTCTATCGATGAACTCGGATTATAGACGGGTATCGTTTGACAGTCGTCTGAATCTGACAGCAACGATTACTCATAATCAACCAACAAGATACATCCCTGCGTTCAATTTACAGTTTCAAAATATAATGATTACTTTTCACAGTGGCATAAGTTTCACTTCTAAACAAAGCTGCATCTACTTGAGTCCGCGCAGCCGGTTGAAGGCAGCAAGGATCTCGCCCGAGTCTACATCCGTGGCCGCGTCGCTGTTGATGAGCCACTGCCCCTCCACGTGTTTCTCTTTGGCTATTGCCTTTCGAGTCCCGCTATGAACTGCCGACCTCAGACTTTTCGCGATACCGGCACTTGGATATGCGAATAACCCAAACATGCCTGCACCACTCTTGGTCACCAAGCTTGCAGCCCCCTTCCCCAGGCCCTTGAAAGCCCCAAGAGCCCCTTCATTGTTAGCACCTCTGACCGGCTCCATGACCAGGTCACTGAGGCCATCCACGAATCCCCATGCAAAAGTCTTGCCAGCCACGACGGCGCCGCTCTTGGCATTGGTAACCCGACCATGGTCCCGGACCTCAGTCCCAAAGTGCTTTGGAACAGCCCTCATGCCCTCCGTAATGGCGAGGGGTATGTCAACCAGCATGCCCTTGGCCGCAGTCGGTCCCAGTTTTCCAATACTTTTTGCCGAAGCGCCAGCTACCTTACCAGCCATAGATGGATGTTTTGTCTTGCTATTGGCGCTACCAGTCGAGATGACTGAACTGCGGCCATCAACTGAGGCATCTCTTGAATTAGAGCTTCCACTGCGTTGCTGCTGTTTTTCTAGCTGCCGAGCTCGGCGTCGCGTTTCTTCTTTATACTCGTCTATAGGCTTTGTAACCATACCCGTGATGGACCCTGTCATGTCAACTGCCGTGGCCATGACAGCGGAAGCTCCTCCGGATAGGGGATCCCAGCGAGTCACATCGATAGTAATGGGATTGGTTTGGTACCTGTTGTCGTGTCATGTCAGCATTCAAGCTTCCCGTTACTATGGGACGAGAAAAAGATTACTAACCCTGAAAGATGTTTAAGTTGCAGTGCATCGTGTGATAGAAGGATTTCTGCCGCCATTTTGGACAGCTTTAGCGGCTTTTTAAGTTTGCTATAGTTCCATGCAGCAGCCTGGCTGGGTATAAGATCGCACTGCATGCGATTCAGGGGTAGTTGTCTCCACCATGAATCCGCGGCGGCTCGAACACCTTGCTCGGCTTCCATTTGCGCGGCAATCTGCTGTGCCGCAGCGACAGCTTTAGGCGAGAGGCAGTATCTAATAGCGGCAGTGAGGTTCTCGGGATTCAACTGTTTCTGAGGAATTGGTTTCGGGCCCGCTCCTGCGTTAGCAACCATGTCACCCCAGAATGGCTGGCTGCAAAGAGAGTTGGCTGTTAGCTGAATTCACTCTCTTGGATTCGTTTCTTTCATCGCTCAGGGTAGGAGTCACTCACTCTCCGAAAAAGGGAACAATTGTTGTAGGCTTCCCGTTTCTCAACCCACAAGCAGTTGTACCTGCGCCTCCATGATGTACTACGGCCGCCACGTGCTGGAAGAGCCATTCGTGAGGGCAGTCTCCAATCCAGTAGACAGACTCGCTCCCCGAGCCTGCCAAGTCTGACCAGCCTTTGGAGATGATGGCTCGAACGCCGGCAGCTTCCACGGAGCTAAGAATCGTGTTGATCACGCGCTGAGGGTCATCTAGCACAATGCTGCCGAAGCCTATGTAAACCGGCGGGGGCCCGGCCGCAAGGAATTGTGCCAAATCATCTGGTGGGGTGTATTGAGGCGTATCGCGGAAGAAGAAGCCGCAGACGTCTGTATTTTGGTTAGTAGGTAGTTGACTTCCTGGAAGCCAGTTGTGATCACAAAAAATTACAAACTCAAGCTTGTGTAGAACTTACCAATGTGTGACGCCCAGTCTTTGGGCTTTGGAACGAGAGCGGGAGACCAGCAATACGTAAACGGTATTTTTAACGTTTCGGCAAGCATGGGACCATCAAACATGGCTACATGTTCTAAATCAAGTCTTTCACGCCACTTGTTCACAATGTCACCGAGTCTGCAATTGTCAAGTAAGCGACATGGTTCAAAAATTGAGGAGGGATATCAACACCATTGAATGGTTGTGTAAACGTACCCTTGCCATGTCATATGCTCGACCACGCCGTACGAAATGTAGTTTGCCATGGCATGGTCACTCCCAGCATTTTTCAGATTTGCCAGCGGGTGTGGAAAGGCCGTCGTGCTGGTCCACGGCATGGTGAACATCAGATGTACTGGGATACCCAATGCCTGTGCGCAGTGTACGTGAGCAAAACTGGGTGGGTTCGAGATGATGGCATCTGCGACAAACGGCTCGCCTGTTACGGTGTCTGGACGGATACACGCTTCCCAAAAGCCTTCGATCATCTCCTCGACCATTTCGCGCTTCTGCTGAATTTCCCCTGCTTTCAGGCTTTTCATGCTAGGGATGAGGCCTGGGTTTTTAACCATATAAGCCATCAGAGCAGCGGGATCGCCGCCTATAGGATAGTGCTCTAGCCCTGCCTCCCTGACAAACTTGTCGAAGAGATCGTGGGTGGCCAGTCGCACCCGGTGACCGCGCCGCTTGAGTTCGGCACCCAGTGCAACGAATGGCTGGACGTCTCCTCGGCTACCGACAACTTGTATCAAGACATTAAGGCTTGTTGGGTCTTTGTAGCCGCGTGTGCCTTGCACCCGTTCGTACGGTGGCAGAGATGGCTCGAAGGATGGTGTTCTTGGAGGACGACTTCCTGCTTCTTGGTCTTTGTTGGCTCGGTACATCAAGCTGATTGCACGCGCCAGCTTTGAGTCGCAGTCGATTTCGACACGGCCATCATCGTCTGCGGGAGAATCGCAAGCAGTTAGCTCAATTTGTGCCTTCGGTGTCTGCGACAGATGTCTGATATCTCACCTCGTATTGTTGTGCTGCCTGTCCAGAGCTTGCTCGAGGTTGAAGATGTGTCGGGTGTTGCCGTGGAATTCGTCCATTGCTGCTCGTCTGCGTTATTCTGGTAACTTAGCTCGCCTGTACTTGCAGCTCTTCGAATGACATTGTTCGATTCCGGCTTGAGATAATGCTGCTCGTCTCCAGCCAGTTCTATACTTGCTGGTCCCTGGAGGGCATTGTTCGATTCTGGCGCGAGGTAATGTTCATCTCCACCCAATTCGTAACGGATCGTCTTGCGTTTGTTGTCCATGCCGTGTTCTGGGAAGAGTTTGAATGAGGATTGCAGTATCAAATTGGATTCCCGGTTGTAGGTTGATACAGATGTAGAATACAGTAGTAGATTTTTGGACAAGTTATACATAAAGCAAATTCAAGATATCTTCAAGTTCTTGAGTAGCAATCGAAAGAATTCTACTGGCGAGTCAACACGAACAAATAAGTTGCAGCAAGGGTCTTGACAAGGGCGACTGCATCCTGACAGAACAGGGTAAGCCTATAAGCTTTATTCAGGGATCAGGGCGGCTAGCTGGGCTGAAAACCAACAACCTTCAAGCTAGCATGACGTGTATGCGGGACCGGCTCTTTGTGTTTGATTAAGGTAAGCTACACTACTCTAACCTCTCGAGGATAGCGGGTCCTAGCTCAGGCCACCTCGACCTCGTATCTCGTTTAGTAGACATCTAGATAAACGAAATACGTGGGCAAGTACATCGAACTCGTTCCCACTAGACTACAGCATTCTTGTACAAGGGTGTGAGTGCGCCTAACCATCAGGGATATTCCACAGCCGTGAAAACGGTTTCGCCGAACAGATCATGGCGAAGTAAAGATAGGGAAAGGGGACAGTGTTCCCTACCACAATGAACTAACAATACGAGTTGAATAAAAGGATACGTATGGAGACAGCTAAGCAGATCCAGCTTTGAGATTCTCCTCGCCTATACGTTCTTACTGCCCCTAGAAATCCTAGACACTTGTTATGATGACTGACGCGGTAAGCCTTGCTATCCCGGAAGACTCGGGGTACTCAACCACATCGACTCCCAAAGAGCGGAATAGGAGCTCGGGAAAGAGGATATCCCACAGAAAATCGCGTACGGGCTGCAAGACATGCAAAGGCAGAAAGGTCAAGGTAGGGAAGGGGGCTCCAACACCACGTCGTCACAGACAGAGCCACTGACACAGCGGATGACAGTGTGACGAACTCCACCCGTCATGTTCGCGATGCGAGCGGTTGAGAATCCGCTGCGAATACACGCACCTCCAGAAGTCGTCTTCGCCGGATGGTTACCACGACGCTCATAGCCCGTACCTAAAGCGCGAGACGACCCCGAAACGGTGTTCAAGTGTCGTTGCTGCGGAGCTGGACTTCCTGCAACTCGAACTCTTGCACACGTACGGCACCTTCACCTGCGCCACGATGGCGTGGTCACCGGCTCTCCGCGACTTTTGGAAAATCACGGTGCCGAGTCTTGCGCTGAAGAATAGCTACCTGATGAGGGCCCTTCTCGCCATACCAGCGCTCCATCTAGCGCACCTCCGTCCCGAGCGAAGGGGCCTGTACGTTTCCGCCGCCCTTGAGTATCACAGGGTAGCGTCTGAGACGACGAGAGCCATGCTGCAAAGTGTCTCGGGGGACGATGCGGTCCCTCTGCTCCTCTTTTCTGCACTGAACATCATTATCGGTCAGTCAAGCTAAGTTCCTCGGGAACAAAACGTCCTTGCTCTAACAATACTAACACACCCGTGCAGTCCTAGCTATCCCGCAAAGGTCCTCCAAAGGCGTCATCACCGACGAAGATGCTAGCTTCAACGATTTAACAGCCATACTGAAAGGCATGAAAGGCATTTTGGAAGCCCTCTGGGACGACCTATCCGAAAGCGCCCTGGCGCCTCTCCTGAACTACGGCAAAGAGAGATGGAATCTCCAGCAAAACCCATGGCAGCCTCGGTTTGAGCCCCAGTCACACGCCGACTCCCTTCACGATCTTTACGTGCGTATAAGCAGCCGCGTATCTGATGCGGATACACTTGCGGTTTACGCCAGGGCCATAGAAGCCCTTCGCGACGCCGCGGACTGGGTGCGTTTCTGGGAGGGCGCGGATGCGCTGGTCTGGATGTACAGGTCGCTAGAGGATTTTGTGCCCCTGCTGGAGTCAAGGAGCCAGGAGGCTCTAGTTGTGCTGGCGCACTTCGCGGTCCTTTTGAACGGCTGCGAGGCGCGATGGTGGCTGCAGGGCTGGCCGGTGCAAATCATGTCCAACGTATACCGGCAGCTGGACGACGAGCACAGGATGTGGATCTATGGGCCGGCAACCGAGATAGGTTGGATATTCCCTACGGATGACGAATGAGCCTCCGGGGGAGAGCGGTCGACTTTGCTGGTATGCGCAATCGCTTTCCATCACAGCATCAAGTAAACGAGATCATGCATTCACATTCAGAAACCATGGATACAATCTTGAGTGATGATAGAGAAGCTGCATTTATACACGGTTCCAGAATATCGACGGCGGGAAAGCAAATCTCCTGCAAACTATACACACGAAAGTCCTCAGACACTATCCACCATAAATCATTTTACTCATCCCGGCATCATCAGAGCAAACCAATGGTTCGCTGCAGGGTCGTTGCCGGAGCTGCGCATCATCATCACAGCCACATCCGCAGTGCGACACGCCGTCCTCGAGACCTAAGCGCAACCTCTACTTCCGAGGCTCGCTGTACGAGTAGCTAAACGCCACGGGCGTGCCAAAGTTGGGAGCGCCGTTGCTGTGCGTGCCGAGCTGCTGCACCATGGTGTACCGGCTATCATCGCAGGCGCCGGCAGAGTTGGCGGTGGCATGGTAGGCGATCCAGGTCTGGTCCCCCGAGGGGCTCTGGAAGAAACTGTTGTGGCCGGTGCCGTAGTGGCCGTTGCCGCTCTTGAGCACGCACCCGTTGCCCTTGGTCCACGCGGCGGTGCTCGTGGGCACCGTGGTGCCGTCCCAGGTGAGGAGGCCGAGGCAGTAGCTCGCGGACCAGCAGTAGGAGGCCGAGTAGGCGATGTACGTCTTGCCGCCAAAGTAGAGCGCTGCGGGCCCTTCGTTGACGGGGTGGGAGACGCGCTCCCAGGACTGCGTGGGTTGCGAGATGAGGCTGACGGAGCCCGAGGTCGACACGAAGTCGGCGTTGAGCTTCTGGATGCAGATGGACTGGTACTGCGCGCCGTGGAAGCACGAGTACATGAGGAAGTTGCCGTGCTGCGGCGTGCGGAGGACCGAGGCGTCAATGGCCCATTCGTCGGCGCCGATGCGGCCTACGTAAGAGTAGCTGTCCCAGGGGGTGGAACCACCTTTGAACATGTCGTTAGTTTTGTTTTTTTTCTTTTCTTTTCTTTTCTTTTCTGCTCGTCTTTGTAGGGGTATGTGATTGTTTAGAAGTGAGGAATGGGAAAGGGAGAACCTACCCCGGAGAACATGCATCCTCTGGTTATCCAAGTTCGCGCTGCCGCCGGCGGTGAAGTAAATGTACCACCGGTTACCCAACCAGTGCACCTCGGGCGCCCAGACGTTGCAGCATCTCGAGCCGTCGTTGGAAGAGTAGACGACCTTCTTCGCGGCGGTCTTCAGGCCCTCGATGGTGGTGGACCGGGCGATCTCGACCGTCGACCAGGTCGTCGTGAGGATGTAGTAGTACCCGTCGCCCGAGTACGTGATGAAGGGGTCGGCACCTCCGGGACGGCGGATCGGGTTCGTAAAGGCCGAAGCAAAGGGCAGAAGGGCCGTAAGACCCGTGAGGATGGAGGACAGCTTCATGATGGGAAGAGCCGTGGGATATCAAACAGCGTAGGGCCTGGGGCTGGCTTGGGGTTAGCGCAAGTATCGTCAGACGAAAGGCTACCGAGGGGAGGACCTCCATTTTATCCTTTTGCGAGGTTAAACCCAATGTATGTCATGGAAGATGTGTTCCGCAGACGACAACTGCATGGGATGGGAGGAACATCTGGTTGGCGTCTCAATCCGAGCGGATACAATTCTAAAGGGGGGGGGGGGGGGGGGGTGGTCTGCAATCCGAGTTGCCGAGCCCATTTCCCACGATATCTCTCTCTTTCTCTCATGGACCGAAACCGAATTATTGGACAGGGCGACTGTAGTCTTCAATGTGGACAGGGCGGTGCAGGTTACCGCACCGGTAGTAGCGCCCGGAAGAGATGCATTGAAGATAGAAAAAAAGGCACAACCCAGGTCCGCAATATCGGAGGAGACGGGGGATTGGTGGGATTCGCAACCACAGACGGTCCTGTCCGCACCCACTCCCCGCTCCCATAGGTACTAACTACACCATACGACTACATGGCAAATCCACGGCAAGCGACCAAAAAGAAGGGCATGAAAATAGACTTGAAGAGCTAAGACAGGGCAGGCAAGAGGGGCCGGATGTGGCCATGAGGTGCCTAGGCTCCCCCCTCCATGTAGTACTAGTAGTACATCACACAGCTGTCCCAGGGAAAGCCGACGGAGGTTCAAAGCTTAAATTCTCCGGGGGACGCCATTTAAGCTTGCGGGGGAGCGGGTTCGGTGTTGTGGATGCCCGGTGATTCGGTACATGAATTATCACGTTCCGTCTAAGATGATTGGAGCGCTTCCGCCAACAAGAGACGCACTGCCAGTGTAGGGTTGGATTAGAAATGGGCCGGCGCGGTTGATGGTCATGTGAAAGCGACGACGACTCGCTGACAAGCCAAAGCTGAAAAAGACGGGAGAAATATCCATCAATTGATGTTGTATACTAATAGAGGTCTCTTGTGATACGACCGCTACTAGAGGCTCTTGGTATCGCTTGCGTAGGATTGAGGGGGTCCTTATGCCGAGTCGGAAGTCGTTTAAACTGTTGCCATCGGATGAGCCTTTCAACTACTCTTCTTTATTAGACAAGACGTATCCTGCAGTCTATAATTTCCACTAGGCTGGGCAAGGCCGGTTTGATACCGATTGTCTTTCTTAATGCCTTGCTCCGAGACAGATAGCCATTGACTGGAAAAGAGCAAAGACTTTGAGACCTGATGTCTATTTTTACTCGGTCAAATAAACGTCACAGGTTCGTCGGGCTGGAAACAAGCGCCTGCTCCTCATTTAAGCATATTTTCTTTTCGATTATCCTATCCCTGCCAGTTCATTATAAAAGATATTTCCTCCTTATCTCATTACGTTGCATTCGTAATGCGTAGCCGGGGCTCTTTACTCTATATATGCTATTAAACTTCCTGCTCATCATATCTTTGCAGTCCAAAGGAATTTTTGCTTCCAAGAGAAATACGCCGTCGCTGTTGTCTGGTATCATTCCTTCATTGCTGGCGGCTCTTCTGGCCGGTAACCTTCGCTTTTGTCAAGTGTAGTTTCACTACACCAAGAAATGGGAAATTGTAGTTTAAACTCCTAAATGTGGCCTTTGCCCACCACCTCTCGTTGCACTTCCACCTCTCCACTATCGGCGGTGAAGCGTCTCTCTAAGACCCATCTGGTTTCGCCTTCGTCCTCCTCTTTAATGTAAGAAATGCTATCTGCAGATCCTTTGTGTTTATGTCCCATGCCGGGCCTCCGTTGAGGCGTTGGATCGGTTCTAGGTACCAGGTTGGGATGCACCGCGCTGTCAGGACTCTTCATCCACAGGCCTGAGTGAGAGATGGTGTTGGAAATCGACATCCCACCAACTTCATTAGACTCCATCACCGGCTCAAATGAGGAGCTATGGGTAAAGTGTGGAGAGTTTACACCAGCTGACGGGCTAGCTGAGCTCAGCGGAGGAAGCGGAGGCGCCGGCGAGCCCATGACAGGCATGGACAGGGTCAGCGTTGGCGAACCCGAGGGGCTCCCCGCGTCCGATGAGTCCACGTCGCGGCTTCTCACCGAAAACGACGAATTCTTGCGGGCATGACCATTGTGGATGCCCAATATGTTATTGCTCGGCGCCGGGCCCCAAGGCGAGCTTGCGCCGTCTCCTCTCTCAGATCTGGGCGAGCCCTCGCGACTCGAGACCAAACTTGCCTGAGATCCACCCCATGCTTTGGAGCGCAGCCTCATGAGCGCAGAGAGGCTCATGTTGTCGTCAGCATCTGCCATCATTGCGAGTTGTGCCAGCCCCGGACTCTGAAGGCTCGACGGGCCGGAGCCCAAACCGGGTGGAACGGCCAAGCTCATGATCGAATTACGATTGGAGTACTCAGAGCGTTCCGTGATGGGCGTGAGATTGGGCTCGCGTGAGATCATGTGGCCAGACTTGCTTCGAGAGATCCCTGATGGGCCAAAGAAACCACCATTCGAGTACTCGAACGGTTTCTCATCTGACCCATTCGAATTGTCTCTGCTGTGACGCCCCTCAATGGGAGCTGAGTAAAACCCAAACTCCTGACCATACCAGCCGTCTTGATCATTGGCAAGGGCGCTAGCGTTCGCCTCCGCGATAAAATCGTCATAATCCATGTCGTAGTCGTCGAGGTCCTCGCGGAATCCGTTGTCATTGTAGTCATCAAAATCGTAGTCGTCGTGGGGAGGCAGGCTGTGTGAAGACTCGTCACCAGGTGACATTATTTCACTTGGAGGGGGTGAAGAGTTTCGTCGGAACTTGCCGTTGGCAGCAGCTTCGAATGCAGCTGCGGCCAAAGCGGCCTGGTAAGCCTCCATTTTATGCTGTTCTGTGTCGGAGAAACCCGATATCGTGGCAGAGGATGCTTGATCCTGCCCGAGAGACTCGCTTTGCCTCTTGGACTCTTCGGTAGACGCAGCCGGCATGTCGACACTCAACGAAGTGTGAGCAGTTGATTGCGAGGTGTTGGACTGAGCCGATAGTCGAGAAGTGCTATCCGATACTCTCTTGCTGCTCTGAGGTGCAACACCTTCCTGGTGGGCGTTTTCTTGCATCGACGCGGCCGCAACTTGGGCTGCGGCATGAGCAGCCTGTGCCTTTGCGAACGCACCGGGAATGGGACGTCCATATCGATCTGTATCATCTAAATCAAAAAGTGACTCATCGAATTTTGAACCGTCGCCTTCTCCAGCAAAGTCAAGTTCGTCTAGGAGTCCACTATCGAAGTATAAATCGTCCTTCTTGGGAGGTGGAGGTGGCACTTCGACAGGTGACAACTGTTGGTTGTACTGTTGTGCCATCTCGTCCTGAGGCTTCTGTTCGTCTATCTTCAGATTATTCATGGAGAGCTCGGAAACTGGGTTCGTCATGCTCGGTTCCGCCATTTGTTCAGGAGATATGTCTGGCGACTGAGATGGTTGCGAATCCATAGTGTCCATCGAGACAGCAAATCCAATCACCCTACCATCAGCATCTCTTGGAGTCAAGGCCAACCCCGCGCTGTGTGGACTCGTGAGTGCAGATACTGGATTTGACCGCTGAAAAACAAAACCGGCAAAGTTCTCTTGGTCGTTATCGGGATCCATCTCGTCCTCGTCGTCAACTTCAATTTCAACTTCTGGGACCACATCAAGACCCAGGGGATCGGTCCCACCCGCATCGAAGTCTTCCTCGCCTTGCAGACCCAAGGGATCTGTGCCAGCTGCATCAAAGTCCTCCTCATACGGGTAGTCATCGTCGAAATCGTTGCTCATGGGAATTGGCTCCTCCAGCCCGTCATCATCCATCATTGCATCGTAATCAAAGTCGTCATCAAAATCATCGAACCGGGAATCGCGGTTCGGATTGGGGTCGGACGTTTTTCTCTCCAGCTCTCGCTGGCGGTGACGTTCTTCAAGTAGCTTTTCCTGCTTGGCAGCACCGACCATGTCGAAGCTGAACCTAGAGGACGTACTCTTCATGTGACGTGGCACGGAGGAGAGCACATCTTGGCCAGGCGCAGAGGCGTGTCTCGAATGGTTCGTTCTCGTGGATGGTGCCGTCTTGGACAGGATTGACGCAGCACTGACAGAGGGCTTCTTGGAGACAATGGAAGCTGAGCGCGAAGACGGTGCAGTAGATTTCTGGGGAGGAACCTCGGGAAGAGGCTTGGACTCGAGGTTCAAGCTGCTTCTCGTCTTGGTAGACGCAACACTGCCAGATCCTGCGGGGGTATGGGAGTTTACGCTGACAGAGCCTGAGCGATCGGAATCGGAAGCGCTGCTAACATTCCTTCCTTGTTGGAAGACCAGCGTAGATGTTGCGCTTTCTCTTGATAGCGTGGGGCCTAAATCCAGTCTTTCTTCGGGTATAGGTGGTTGTGGTTTCGTGGCAGGCGCCACAGGAGCTGGAGGAGTAGGCTGATCATGATTCGGGAGGCTCTTTCTCGGCCGCGGTGCGCTGAAATCGTGGACCCTAGTACCTCTTATACGGGGGTCGTAAGACGGCTCTCCTAGTCTGTTCCCACCAAGAGGCAATGGTGACAAGTCTGGCGCATTTTGGCTTGTTTTCCTTCGCATGAGCAGGGTCGACATGGGGTTTTTTAGAAAGGGCAAGCCTTTCCTGCCCTTGGGGGCCTCGACGCCTTGGTTTGTCATGCGGACGTTGGTCGGCTCGCTCGACAGTCTCGTACCGGCGGGTCGACGTCCGGTCGCAGCATAGTTCTGAGCCGGAGGTTGGGTCTGGCTGGGGCTAAGGTGCTGGTGGTGCAGCTCGGTCGGTGTCGCAAAGGAGCTCGCGGTTTTTGACGTCTTCGTGGGCTGCGGTGGGGGTCTAGTCGGAGGGGCAGTATTTATCGGCGGGGGCGGCGCGGGCTTCGACCTTGGGAATTGGCTTTCGTGACTACCATGGTCGGCGGCGGCAGCATTGCCAGCCAAATCCGGAGATTGGGCGGCCATTTGCTGTAGTTGTTGCTCGTGCTGTTGTTGCTGTTGCTGTAACTTTTGCAATTGCAGCAGCTGTCTCTGGTCCAGCTGCTTGCGCAAGGCGACACCGCCGACAAAGCCAGATTGAGAGGTCTTTGGAGAGCGCACAGGCGGCGGTGGCGGCGGTTGTTGCTTCTGGGAATATGACTCCTGTGTCGGTGGTTTCCTGTCGACAATCGGTCGGTCATGAGGCGACTCGGAGCCGGACGAGGTGACCCGAGTAATGGGCGGGAGAGTAGGAGGGAGGGAGGAGTTCGTGGTCGCTGACGGCGATCGGGAGTCTGGGGTTAAGACGGCATCTTGAATGAAGGGAGACTGCTGGGGAAGCGAGGGATCCCAGGGAGCAGAGGCGGCGGAAGAGGGTTGTTCGGGGTTCGGCGAGGTGGGATTGGACTGGCCCCGTCGATGAAATCGAAGATGGGAAAGCATCGCGGGGATGGTTTGATGGCGGGATGGATGGATGGATCAGGTATGATCCAACCCAATGGCGCAGGGGTGGCGGTTGGTCGCAGTAGAGGAAGCAATTACTGGCGAGACAAGATACAAGTTGGAGGAGGGGCGAGCAAAGGGCGCGCAGTCGAGGGATCGCGAGATGGAAGCTAGGAAGTGAGAGAGAGTGCCAACCAAAAAAAGGTGGGCACAGGCTCAAGCTAGCTGGCGTATAGCCGACGTCAACAGCGTCTATCTTCAGCCAGCTGTGTGAGACGCAATCATCTCCTTGCAGGCTGGGGCGCAGTCATAGTTTTGGCGGAGGGGTCTGATCTATTGGGGAGAAATGCCGGTGCGGTGGTGTCAGAAAAGAAGTTTTGGTATGTCTGTTGGTCTTGGGGGTTTGTCGCAGAGTGGATGTTGGCGGCTAAACCATTCGAGTAGTGGCTTACAATTGATTGGGGAAAAAAATAAAGAACGTGGAAAAAGGAAAAGTGATGGCGGGAAGGGTTAAAAGTAAAAATAAAAAATAAAAGTAACAGGTCATGGGATTAAGAGAAGAGTGAGGCGGGAATATGCCCGGATCTGTCACCCAAATGGCGTTGGTCTGTCACCTCGTTTACAGGTAGGTACTGGAGGACTAAGAGGTAGTGTAGTGTAAACTGGGCTACCTGAGTAGGGATCTCTGCTCGGCATGTCATAGATAATAGTGGCCAAGGGGGTTTTGCTGGGCGTGGCTTTCTGGCTTTTCTTACCTCACCTTGGCCTTAGTTTGAGGTAGTGCTACTACCGTAATACGTTGTAATGGCTGATGATTGCGTGGGAGAACCCTGCACATGCCAGTCCTGGGGCCTTGCTCTCTCTCTCTCTCTTTTTTTCCCAACTGGAACCCCCCAGCTTTGATTGAATCTCAGGCCCTGGACGACCGTGCGTTGTGGAGCAGGAGCTACGGTACGTACCCCATTGCCTACGTACAACAGGAAGGGATGCGGTAGGTCGAGAGAAGGAGTCGTCATATTAGCTCACTTTCACTTTCAGGACTTCCCTTTAGGCTGTTGCTGCTGCTGCTGATGCATCCTGCACGTCCTCGGGGAGTTTCGATCAACAGCACAGAAATAGACCAAGGCGGCACTGCAAGCCACCGCCAACGGGGTATTGCACTACCAACAGCACCACCGCCACCATCACTGCCACTACCACCACTGCCAATGCCTCTACTATTGCTCAATCCCTGGATGAGTGAGAGTGGTGGTGGTCCCAGGGTTTGAGGGGTCGCTTCCATGTTTTCAGGTGCTCCTTCATTCCAACTTGTTCCTGCCTAGGCAACGACCCAAAAAGTCACATCAGAAACCCTCCGATGCAATTTTACTGGGTCTTAATTGGGCCTCAACCTCAACAGTGGAGCCTCTTCTCGCCCTTTGGGAGTAAGCACGGATGCCGTACCTCCCAGATCCATCACATCTCTCCCGAGCCGATCCCATCTGTCGCCACGTGATGTTCCCGATTTCCTTCGTGCCTTCCCGTCTCAACCCACAACCTTTTGTGCTTTCCCAATCCAGATCCAAACTGTATCTTTTTTCTTTTCTTTTTCTGTTTTTATTTGCCAATATTAATCTCTGGATGCTCTGGGTGCTCTGGATGATCCGGTCTAGGATGACTTTTGACTGACATATACTACTTATCCCACTCAATAGACACAACGGCGAGACGAGATAGTTTGGAGTGAAACTGCAGGGTACACCGAGCAGCCGAGATGAAACAGACATCGAAAGAAGAAAAAGAAAAGAAGCAAAATAGTAACAAGAAATAAGCAACAAGAGAGAGACAACATTCCTCAAGGTGGTGATCCCACATCCGCCCGGAATCACAACAACCTAGCAGCTGGCCCAACCGACTGTAATTATTTCGTGTTGCATTTCTACCACGTTGCTTTCCCTTACCCGGAATATGGGGGGTTGCAGAAAGGTCACATATCGCATGGATCAGGGACTGACCTTTACAAAAGAGGTTCCTGGACAGTGCATTCATTACTGTCACCACCAAAACAGGGAACCAAAAGTGTAGATCTACACCCCGTCAAATATTGTGACCTCGTCCCATCATCGCCATCTACCATCCACTCCTTCGTTACACCTCGTAACACCACGAAATCTGCTGATCATACCAATCATCCAATCATTCCATCATTCATCGTCCCAATCATCAGTTTGGCACTTCCAAAAGAAATGGCATATCGAGCCAAGATGCCGCTCTTCTCCACCTCCCTTGATCACCGCTGTCGTCCAACGTATTAGCTTCATGGCGAGACAGCAGTGTCACACCTCAACCACGCCGCCCATATTGACTTGCGCCCTAACACCTCGTCGCTTACCCTTTTTCGTCAAGCCTGTCGACACGGGCATTAAGGCGTTGCAATCGGTATTCTTTCAATCCTACCCCTACTTCCGATCTTCCTCCCTTCCCTCAATGACAGCTGTGGCCCGCCTCACTTCCCGCTGACCCGGCTAGCGGGTTCGGGGGTTTAACTCTTTCCATCTATTGTGAGACCCTCGCCAAAAGAAACGCCTCTCTTCTCGGGCCCTATCTACCAAATCATCAGACAGGCATTCGTCGCAAGACTTCCAGCTGTAACGCCTCGTCTTGCCGCTAGATCCCAGTGGCATCCTCGACGGGCGCGCCGTTTGGCCCGAGGGTCTGTACACTCACTGTACACGCAACACTCCCGACGGCTTCGGGACACATTGCCTAAAGCCACATCGGCAGGTCCCGACGTCAGCTTTGGGATCAAGGGTAGAGGATGAAGGGTCTTGGAGTGGGTTGCGAAATCTGCTTTCTTCCCCATTCGAGATCTGGAGAAAATGTCCCTTGCAGCCGTAGACAAAGAGGATCTACCTTGCAATCAACACCTCAAAGTTCTTCTATACATGACATCTTGGGAAAGCTCTTTCGAGGTCAAGGCCTGCCGGGAAAACCGTGAGTCAAGATGCATGCAAAGCGGTTATTTCTGCTACTGTGTTGTGACAGGTTTGATTCTGAAGAACAGCCCTTCGTCTGATCTTCCTACCACCAACTCCAGGAAAACAGTCCTTTGTCAAGCACGATCAACATGAATGACCTCGATATTCTTTGTGGCACACAATCACTTTGTCGATTGTCAGTCGATTGTTCATAGTCAAGACTAGCTAGTGTTTTTCTTGCCTACCTGGTCGCTTCTATCATCTAGAATCAGTGCATGTTCAACCTATGTTCTCAGGACGTATATCAATGATGGCATTTTCTGCTAGTGGCAACCACCCAGAATAACTCCTCGACTGTGTACAACCTACAACAACTACTACCGACTTACCTCTCAGACAGGAATCCATCTGCCTTACAAAACGATAGCCCATCAGCCACTCACAGATAACCAGGAAAATGTGTATGAGAGTCTTTGCCCTTCACCGCTGCTTCACCGAAGCCGACGGCGGCTGCGACAACTACTGGGCCGAATACGTTGCCGTGGAAGAGTGCAACAAGCACATGCTCCCCGGCCTCCCGCAGGCCGACTGCCGCGCCGTCTGGGGCGGCTTCGAACGTGAGATGAGCAGCCGCGTCAACCGCCACGACTTCTACATCCGCCACCCCAAAATGTGCCGCATATGCGAGCACGCCCACGAGCTCGCCCGCCTCCAAGCGGAAGCTGAGCGCGAGAGACGAGGTGAGTTCTCCGACCGTGTGCAAACCCTTTTACAGAACGCCGAGCGCCGTGCGCAGCTTAACGAGGGGGCATTCATGTACCGCTGCTACAACGAGATGTGGGACGCAGCACGTAACCTTGTCGGCGGTCTCGGCCGCAAGGCGGACGCCGTCTGGGACAGCATCGAGGCGGCGCTATACAGACATTTTGGCGTTGAGGGGCTGGCGAGGCCCGACATCCAGGGCTTGATTGCGTCGTTGCAGGACGCGAAGAGAGTCCTTGTGGACCACGTCAAGGTCACGACGCGCGAGATGGCCGTCGCGCTGGTCGGTCCAAAGGATAACTGGGATGAGGACGAAGAGACGGAGAGATACCAAGAGGAGGACCGCAAGCGGCAGCGGCTTGCGGCGAGGAAGGCTGAGCGGGTTGGTCGGCGGGCTGCACGTGAAAGAGAGGAAGAGGAGTGATGTGCTCCCGTGGATTCCGGTAAGTTGTTTCGTTCGCAGGATTGATATGTGATTTTCTAGTACTTCGCCATGTTTTGAGAACAGCTGGGTATTATCAGCTGCGATTAACAAGTCCAGCAAGCTATTCTCAAGTATGCCCAATCTACCACACTACTTTGCTCCCTTACAAGGCCAACTCCGTTACTGCCCAAGCTCTACTGATGTAGGCAAATGGCTTAAAAAGAAGCTTCTTTCCGTGTGCACGCCATTTTAAAATAAGAAAAATCTCACTAATGCACGTCATCGGACGTGGACATTCTTATCGTGACTTCAACCACGTCGGACAGGCAGTGTCCTCGTCTGCCCCGCTTAGAAGCCCTGACTCAGCTACTCAGTAGCGCTACATGATCGTTCGAATCACGCCAATTGTCACAAAACTGGGATCCTCCAGCTTCCACAACCGGCGTTGTGGCAGAGTGGTCTAATGCGCAAGACTAGAAATCTTGTTCCTTCGGGAGCGTCTGTTCGAATCAGGCCAACGTCGATCTTTTTGGTTTTTGAAGGTTGCTCCTGCATTTATTTTTGCTATCCTATTGCATTTTTACCCACGATTGGCCAGCTTTGATGATGAGAATGTTTTTTCGAAGTTATGTGTGCACTGGGATTCCGCAACTTGCAGCTCTACTGAGATGATCTCAACTTCCATACTCCACAACTACTACTGACTGGTTGCTGCTGTCCTCAATCTGAAGTAAGTGAATGCTACAAACTGCACTATGGTGGAACAAAGTAATTGGGTTCGTGTACTTCTGTCACGCCTTGTTATAGGACACCCTTGCAGGGTGAAAGAACCATTTGAAGGCTTTGCTAATTGAATTCATGCCTGCCAATTCTGGTTCACGAATTTGACATTAACGAACCAAAGAAGATCCCCCTTTGATCTACCAGCTGTCCCTCGCATAGTACGAAAGAAGGTTGGGTATACACCCTTCATGTTGGCAGTCGAAATGCATGTATCGAGCACAATGAACTCTTTTGATGACAGTCACAGAACAACGTCTGCCAGCACTGACCAGATTCCTTCTTCTACGATAACAGGAAGACAACAATGAAGATATTCATACTCAAGTCGACAGTTCTCATGAGCCATTCCTAACTTAAGAAGCGCCCTGCCTCACTTTTACCTCGACTCGATTTCAGCATCACTCACCTGCTAACTTGGACACAACTCACACATCGCATACTACCAACTCGCCAGTGGCGTCGCTCAACACTCAATACCTTTGCTGTCAAATCTCCAACATGTGCTGGACGCTACAGCCTCAATCCTTCTGTAACCACTGCTCTGCCGAGGTGAACTTTACGGAACTCGAGGATCCATGCCAGGATGTTCTCGATCAAGGCGCCGCCTTTGGTGCATGCGGCGATATTTGGTGGCGTATTGTGAACGGCCCCAAGGACTGCGTCTGTGATGACTGTCTGTCGGCTCAAGAAAACCGGAATAATCGCCGGGTCGTGGCTCCTGGTCACGAGGTTCATCATCGATCCAGATTCAACTCTCAGGTCTACACTCAAAGTGCCGTTCCACGCTTCGCACCCGAAGGACACACAAAATACCAGTCGTCCGTCCCCGCCAGGACCTCGACCGTTGGCGTCGAGACGCCATTCGTCAGAACGTCAACACAAGACTACATTGGCGCCGGGTCTGGGGTCATCAGTGCTGACCGGAACAAATTAGGGCCTCCCTTCCAACCTCTGAACTCCCAGTTTAACAACCACCGCCGAGAAGACCGGGTGAGTTTTGCCGCCGTTCCCCTGGCTCGGGATGTTCTGCGCCATCGAAGAGGAACTCAAGGCTATCGAAGGGCCAAAACGCCCATGCCGCGCAACACACTCGCCAACGACGCTGAAGAGGAGGACGAAGAATCATCCAACGGCGGCGCTCACCTTTCAGGACACACTTCGTCTGCCACGAGCGGCTACACAAGCAGTACCAGCAGCACTCTACCTCACCCCGTCCTTAACCGCTCATACCTCGGCGCCTCCCCCTTCGCCTTCGGCCGCACCCCCGACCGTCCCGTCCCAAACCCGTCTCCGATTACAAACCCCTTCCTCCGAAACTACTTCACAACTCACCAGTCTCACCCCATCACACACGCCCTTCAGGACGAGACTTGGATCCCCGCAGAATGGGGACCGGCGATCGAGATGCCTCCCAGCCTGGTACACGAGCTGAGCCGCACGACCCCGACCAGTACTTTCCACAGACACCGCGTGTACTTTTGCCCCATGCCGGAAGACCCACGCGGCGACACCGTCATGGTCGTCACGCCCAGCGGGCTCAAAGTGCGCGTGCTGTCGAGCGAGCTGTACATGACGACCATTGCCGTCGTCAACCGCATCGAGTTGGCGGTGCAGGCCCAGGAGTACAAGCGGCAGCTGGCGCATGAGAGGGAAAACCAGAGGAGGCGCGAGCGGGGTGCGTGTATATTTCACCCCTGTCGCGTGGCCGGCTGTCCTAGGTTTCACGATGAAGGGCAGCATCGGCCTTTGGTGCCGGCGAACGCGTCTGCTTTCTTGCGGGCAAATCGAAGATTAAGGGGGGGTGAAGGACATGGGTCTGAACGGATGCGACGGCGGTCGACTCCGGGCTCTTGGGTCAACGGGGAGATTCGTTCCTCTCGTGACGTTCCTGAGTCTGAGGAGCGCGAGGATGGTGATGATGCGGTGGCTCCTGTGTCGCGTCAGGCTACTGCCGTGAGTGTGGAGGATGAACCGGAGACACCTTCGACTTTGCACCTCAGTGCTGAGCATGATGCTAAGCGCGCTCCGAGGAAGATGTTTGAGAAGGATGGAACGGTGCGGTACAAGTCGTTTAAAGATTTGACGGTTGTTTCCACGGGGTCTCCGGTGTCTCGTCGCAGCCTTCAGAAGAGTTATGCGTGCCTTGGATCTGATTCTCCGCGACTAGAGAATGCTAGTGACGGGGCTGATGAGGTTGGGCAGAAGGAGGCTTACTCCAGTAGTGCTGCGAAGAAGATGTTTGATGACGGGCCTGATCTGGGTGATTTACGGATTTGGGATGAGGACGAGACGTACTAGCGGTCTTGAGTTGAGTCGGGTGAGAGGTGTACGGACGCTTGGGACTATGAGGGGAACTGACTGATGAATGGAGTATAACGATAGATTCTACTATCAACATCAAATCGAGCAACCGCATCTGTCATAGACCAATCGAGCATGAATGAGATCGTCTTCGTGAATGAAGAATCTACACCGTCATTCTTCATCTCAACCAAGACAGGGCCATGCGTTGATCCCGCGGGAAAGGGACCGCCACGTGCGTCCCTTGTCCCCCGTTGAAACGCAAATGAAGCTTGATTCCCCACGCCGTCGTCACACATGAGACGAACCGATGGGTTGCACGGCACACGGACACACGGACACACCAATCACTGAGAAACATCGGACAACCAAGAGCCTTTTTTTTTAAAGGGTGAGTTTTATGTCGCATTAAGAAGCAGACACTAGGTATATGTGTTGTTGGGTAGCCCGGGAGGAGGGAGGACTACAAATGTATGTAAGGCGCGGTCCCCCCCTATGTCTAGCTCTCCCGGGACTACATTCGCTGATCCAGAATAACTTATCCCATATCCAGGATATCTGCACAATGTCCAAAAGCAAAAAAAGATAAGAGCCCCCGAAAGAAAGAAGAAGAAGAAAAAAAAGAAGAGGTATCCCGTCCCATTTGCGCCGTCAAGAAGCTTCTCTTGTGAGTGTGATGTAACTTCGCGTGATTTTCAATATCAAAAAATGGTCAACAAAAAACAGCGTGAAACTGGCCTGTGGCTTCGTTCATCGTGGCGAGTTTGTTTGATTCAGAGTCAAGGACGGGGAGAACCAGGCCCTCTTTTCTTTTCTTTTTTTTTTCTTTTCTTTCCCCGACGAAAAACTCAACCCCATGGGTTTTTCTTGTTTCTTATATATGGACCACTTGAAAAGGAGGTTTGGTATACGGATGTTGAAGGGAAACAAAAAAGAGACCAAAAGCTCTTTTAAGCGGTGAACTTGTCGCCGAGGGTGACGTCGAGGTGGCCGGTGTGGTAGCCCTTGCAGCCGACACCGTCCTCGGCCTCCATACCGGGCATGTAAGCACCCTCGTTGGAGCCGTCGGACTTGACCCACGAGCAGGTCTTGCCGTTGGCGGCGACCTTCATGCCGTAGTACTTCATGCCGGTGGCGCCGGCGACGAGGACGGAGGCGTCGGCACCGGAGTTGCCGCCGTTGGGGGTGGAACCCCAGTCGAACTCGAGCCAGGTGCCGGCGAACTGGCCGATGAAGGTCTTGGGGACGTCGGAGCCGGGGCCGCAGGCGCAGGAGCCCTGGGAGTCGGCCTCGAAGGCGACGTGCTTGGACTGGCCCTCCTTGACGGAGAAGGTGATGGCGGCGAACCAGCAGCCGTCAATCAGGCCCTTGGGGCCGATCTTGTTGAAGCAGGAGCAGGTGTAGGTGTCCTGGGAGGAGGTGAAGGTGGTGGTGTAGTTGTACAGGCTCTTGATGGACTCGTCAATGATCTGCATGTTGCAGCCCCAGGAGCCCTCGGCACCGGTGTTGCCAGAGTAGGCGATCTGGTCGAGGGTCGCGCGCTTGGACTTGCCGCTGCAGAAGGGGATGTACTCGCCGGTGGCAGCGGTGGTAGGGGTGGCGGAGGGAGCGGCGCTGCTGCTGGACGAGACGACGGAGGGGCTGGGGACGGGAGCCTTGTTCTTGATGAAGGTCAGGTCGCGCTCGTCGACGTCGGCACGGCGCTCGTGGAAGTGCTGGTGACCGTGGAGGGAAGGGTGAGCGGACACGCCGGCGGAGAGGGCGGCCGAGAGAACGACGAGAGTGTTGGTGAGCTGCATTTTGAAAGATTGGTTTGCTGTTTTTCGCTTGTTGTTGTGATTCGTCGTGAGAAAGGGGGTAGTCGTCAACTCGTGAACGCTAGAAATGTTGGAAAAATAAAGAGGTTTTTGCTTTTTCTTGTTACCCGTCCGAAAAGAGTGACAGCGAATAACTCGCGGAGTGTTGGACGATGATGGTTTGGAAGGAGAGAGGTGAAGCAAGGAGAGACCAAAAAACAACGGGCAGCAGAAGAGGGAGGGAAATGAGCCTATTTTGAAGGGATGGGAAACAAATCTCATTAGATCGTGGCCCGTCCAACTGTCTCTGATTCCTGGCGCCCTCCTCTCCCGTTGTGGATGTTAGCGAGAGACATGGTCGGACCGGGGGTCTTTGGGTGTATCGACCAGGGACTCGTCACCCAGGAAGCACGTCCTGCGCTATTGTGCGCCGTCCAACAGCCCATTGCAACCCATTGCGACCCTGGTCTAGTCAGGAACAGACTCCATAAGGGGTAAAGCGGCCCCTCAAGTGATGACCGAGAGGAGGGTTAACCGACATCGAACATGGTGGGCGTCTCTTGGTTTCCAAGGCCGCCACAACCCACAACGGAAGAGACAGGCACACGGATCCACAGGGGGGTAGGCATGTGTGTGTGTGTGTGGACGGGCTGGTTCAACTCAGGGCCTGTGATTGTGGTGTACATGGTACCGTGTGGTAGAGTAGTATGGATAACAACTGGCTGGCCATCGAAGGAGAGAGACGGGATGGGATGGAGGGGAGGGGGGGGGAATAGGTGCAGCACCGCCTGGCGCTCAGGGCAGACGGCTCGATTGGACGGTGTCAACGGTGATGCGGGAAAAGGGGGTGGAGAATGTAATTTCACCAGCAAGCCAAAGCTTGGCCACGATTCGAGAACCAAGCGAACCCCCGTCTAGTCATGGGCTAGCAAACCCAGTTTGAGCCTTACGCCTATTATTGTGCTGCTTAGTTACCTGCCAATTGAAGTTTGCGGAATTGGAAAACTGTGCAGAAAACTTAACCGTGATTAACTATTGATTTTTTTCTATCATGTATTCAAGGTTGTGAGTGGATGTGTGGAATGATAACTGAGAAAGGGCAAAACATGTAGATCAGGGCGCCAGAGGTAAGTAAAAAAAAAACAGAAACCACTATTACACGTACTGAGAGATGGTAGTACATGACGGAGGCACTCTGTACTATGTACATACACCACTTGGAAATAAAAAAAGAAAAAAGCGCTATGTGTACTATGTAGGTTGTGCGCATGGCAATGTTGTTCCCTCCGTCTCCTCTCGTGGATCCCACTCAAATGCCGGCAGCAAGCGTCGCCGCGAAGATTACCCGCTAGTTGGTGTGGTTTGCTGAGGGGGGAACTGCAGAGCCAAACCACGCCAGGTAGGCCTGGAACCTTGGATTGGGGACGGGGATCCGGGACGGAACATGCAACCACAAACTCATGTTGGACAGTTCAGCGGGGACAACTCACAGTGACACATACACGCAGTTCACAGCTCACCATGCAGTAGTGTAGTGTTCGCCATGTTGTGCAAACCTCAGGCCCATTCCCCCCGAAGAGATGCCATAACCACTTCGCATACCCTAAACTTACGTACCGACTACTTGACAAGTCAGGTTTTTCTCGAAGTTCCTTGGCTGGAGAGATAGAACTTTGCCATGCCCTGGTGGAGGTCCGGTGGAGGTCTCCGGCTTGCATAAAGTTAAATCTCTCACTCAAATATCGAGCACAAGGCCCAATTCCGGGTCGAGACTCCCACCACCGTCGTCACTGTTCACCCTCCATGACGTGCAAGTTTGTCTTGCTAGCCCGATCGCCATCTGTTCGTGCCAGCTTGGGCGAATTCCAGTGTCAGAAACTTCACCTGGCTTGTAAGCGTGCATATTCTAGCCCCCGAGATACCCCTCTCGAGCCCCCCTCAGAAGGATGGTGGCGGGTGGTGGTCACTACATCCCGGAGGCGTCAACCAAGTATTATGTCCCTCAAATCGTCCGAGGGAGGGGAAATGTCAACCCAGTGACGGGACACTTTGGAAGGTTGTATGTGTTCTGGAGATTGAGCCATCAAAGGACCAAGGCGTATCTAGTCATGACGTTCAATAAGTCTGTTTCTGGGCATTGGACAGCTGGGGCCCATCCCATTTCGGTTTCCCCCTTCGTTTACCTTATTATAGAGTCAACATGCTTGATGTCCATCACGGCAGTGCCTCGCCAGCTCATTTCAGACTTCGTACTTTTGGCGGTGTCAACCGAGTTCATCTCAGCTCCCGACTTGGGTCCCCCCCCATGATCCGATCCAGGTGCCGCTGCCGCACAACGGCCCGTACGCGGCCTGGGTGGAAAGGGAGTATGCCTCGAAACGGGTCTGGATCTGCCAGCTTTTCCAGGAACACAGAACGCAGGCTACGGACGTGGATATCCGGTCCACCCGGTGTGGGTAACCCTACTTGACCACTTTTTTTTTTTTTTTTCCACTTCTGGCCTTGGTCTGGTTCTTTGGAGGAGTCAAGGAGTCTCCTCTCCTCTTCCAAACTGGCAATTCTACAATACGCTGGATTCTCCACCGGGCAGTGCAGGAGGAGTAAGTAAAAATCAGTGGCAATTCCGAACGCGTCATAGGCCTCGTCAGGGCAGGCGGAAGTCCTGCCGGTCTCAGGGACGACTCTGAGCCTGGCGTGTGGATGCTGTTGCAGATGGTCTCCCCCTTTGCCGGTGCTTGACTCCTGGGGCCTGGGAAGACCCCTTGTGGGTGTTACTGCGCAAGCTTATTGTTGTTTACCGCAGAGAAACACGAGGGTTCGGACGAGTCGATCCCCTAAACTTTTTGGGCGTATCGACGGGCTGTGTTGAGAAGATGCTATATCGAGGCTTGGGGCGTGCCGGGCGGCCATGTGGGATTGAGCCAAGCTACTTGGAATAGCAACGCTGCTCGATAATTGTTTGCCTCTAAGAATAGATAGCCCTTTGTTTTGGTTGCTTTTTTTCCCTACTTGCTTAGCCTAAGTTTTGCCGTGGGATACATGTTTAGCATGTTGGCATGCGCTAGGCTGTTGCCCTGGCAGAGCCAAAAAAGAACACCCTAGGAAATGCCGTTCCTGAAGATCATTTCGCTGCATTGCCCGATCGTCCCGCTGAATTAAGACGCCCAGCGTGGCCAGACCTGATTTTCGTCTCACGGCACTCGTTGAGTGAGTTTGCATTCAGGGATCATTATTCATGGTCGCGCTAGATCAGGAACCACTCTAGAGGTGAACTACGCTTCAGCAACGATAGTGCTGTGGTTAGGTACTTGAGAATGGTTACTCTATGAAACATTTCTGTTACGTTGATAAGCTGCAAATTTTCCAGCGCTTCCATCCAATTCACAATCAAATTTGATTGATCCGCCCTGATGGTCTAGCGGTATGATTCTCCCTTAGGGTTGTCACTTGACATCTCAGTCTGGGAGAGGTCCCAGGTTCGATCCCTGGTTAGGGCCCTTCTCTTTTGCTTTTTTTTTTTTCTTTTTTTTTTTTTTTTTTTTTTTTAAATCTCCTTCTGAAGTATTTTTTGTCTCTTCCATCTCTACCGTGTTTTAAGTGTCTTGATGACATGTGAGGTCATGCCGAATGTTTTTTTTTTTTCCCCTTGTTACTGAGCTTTCATGCCTTCGTCAAGCTAAGGTTTGTTGACAAGTTAATTGACCGATAAATACAGCGGCAACACCAACCGCCTTTGCTTCACCTACTAGAACACTTTCTGAGTATCAAACTGTTTTGAACCAAAGCAGACGCCTCCCAACCCTGTCGTCGTAAGACCAGTGTCCCATTGACTTCAACATCTGAACGAGTGACGGCAGCGTCTCGCGATCGATTGGCCAGTCCTGAGTCCTGAAGAAGGAATCCTTCTACCCGTTACGACGCCAGGGCTCGCCGATCCCAATAGTCTCTCGAAGGTTTCTCTCGTGTGTCAAAATCAAACATGTGAATTATGATGTACCTGGCTAACGACAAATATGTATCTATATTCCGATTGGCAATGGCCGTTGTCTGAGACATTGTCCAAGACACTATTTTTTGTGGCTAGGGAGAAGAACATTCCCAGGACGTTGGGTGATGTCGTCACTACCTTATGGTATTTAGTCTTGGTAATCACGCAGACAACATCCATGTCGTTTTGAATCGAGACCTCGTAATTTATATAGAGAGTCTTGGTTTTGCCGAGTACTCTCCCTGACAACAAGAGCGTAGAGGACAACATGTGGAAGTTCGTCTTCTATGGGCGCCATCTTCCACATCATTTCTAGCAACACGAAGCCGCGATTGGCCAAATATGTTAAAGTGAAGAGACGTAGATGACGCTTTGCTGTATGCGCGATCAATATTCAGAACTCTAGCTCTGTAGTCGGCTTATGCCGTGTTAGTATTCCTTTCGAATCTTTTACACCCAAATGCATAGTCAAGCTGTCCTTGGAAATACAAGAAAAGGTTGAAACGGCGCAGATTATAAGGTTAGTTTTTGCCTTAAGATTCTAGGTTCCTGCTTTACAGATTTTTTCAGCGCATTAGGTGCGTGCCTCGGTAACTCTCCCGTGACGCGCACCGGCGGGAAGCCACAAAGTAAATTTCGTCAAACTTTTGCTTGTGGGAAGAAGAAAAGAGTTGTATTAACTGATAGTGTATGCACGCAGAAGACACTTACCACAATTCCTGCCTCGATAATAGATATGTCTTTTTAAAAGAGTTGAGCATGCATACTCTGATAAATTCCAATAAAAGGGCAACTGTTGCAGTAGCCGAAACTCTGGGTTGGAGCGTTTTCGTCGCCAGGTGCCCATGTAACGGCAACCAGACGGGTATAAGTTCTGCGACAACTTCAGCAAGCACTTGACCCTAAGCTTCTCCAACCTAGACAGAAGAGATATGACACAGAACACACAAGTTTTGCCCTTTAAAAGGACATTCCACTTTACGATACCCCTGTGATCCCAATCGTAAGAGGTAGCTCGATGATTGTCCCTATGGTGGGAAGAGTCTTCACTTGTTGTTTCACCATGACAGAAGGCTTCACAAAACCTCCAGTGTTAGTGGCACCTAGGAAGCGTTTGAATAAACGACACGCGAAAGTAGAAACAATGATGGTTTGCCATGTGCGCACAGCTGAACGTGTAAAGGCCAGCCAAATGCCAGAAACAATCATCGTTTTCACTTTTCGGGTACAACGATGTTTGTGCCACTCAGCTACACCCATCTTTAACCTAGTCCTCCCTATCGTTGTATGGCAG